ACCCCTTCCTGTGTCCCTCCAGCTCCAGAGGATTCCCTGTGTCTGAACTTTCATTGGCAGACCTCTTCTCAGGCTGACCCACTCTCGGCCGCTGTAGAATCATCCTTCCAGGATGATAGACCCACCCTTTGGTCTCCCGTGAGGATGAGTCGTGTATCACTAGAGGTTCTCAGTTTGTGAAAACACTGTAGTCTGTGTTCAGTTTCTTATAGCCAATCATGCAGGCTTGGCTCATTAAAGATGATAATTAACCCATTGCTAATTGACCTCAGCAGCCAGCCGGGCGGGCCTGTGTTTTACCAGCCTTGGTCGTGGATTTATAGGCTATGTTAAGATTTCTTAATAATCTCAGCAAGACTTCACTTTTCTGTCTGCATCTTATTTGCTCTAAGGACATTCTGTGAAATTAACAAGCTATAAAGTTTGATTGAAGGTTTCAACAAATGTGAAAGTAATTGGCTCCATTTAGAGAAACAAGAAAAATAACCTGTAAACTTGAGTTTGTAGGGGAAAACCCGTGTGATTTTTCTCTGTAACCAGAGGAGCAGTAGCAAGCAAGACTTTTTAAAACCAGAAAAGAAAAAAAAAATAGAACTGGCTGATAGAGCAAGTTTAAATTCTGACCGCCCCAAACCAGAAGTTTAGAAAAAGAAGTTTTGCAAAATGTAACCAGCCACTCCAGTGTCTGTGCCTTCCAGGAGGCCTGTCTGGAGAAAACAGGGGTCCAATAAAGATGCAGCGAGTCCCTGATTCCCTGGAGCTTGCATCCAGAGGCCTGGTTCAGGTCTCTGACCCCGCCTCCTGTTCCCTGGCTGAATCAGGGCTCTTCCCCCTTCCCCATGGCTGGTGTTAAGTCTCACAACTTAACATCCATCTGTGGTACCTGCTGCTCAGTTCCTCGTCTCTCCCTCTCCCTCCACCACCTCCCATAAGACAGCTTAGATCTCTCTTTCTGTTCCTTCAAGGCATTTCTGCACAGGCTGTGCTGATGCTCTACTGCGTGGCCATGGAGACTCACCGGTTTTCAGACAACACTGTTCGTTCTCTGCTCATCCACCGCCCCACCCAAGATATGCCCCAGACTGCCTTCCCTCTTCTCTCTTTACCCTGGTGGTTTCTTCCTGCTTTCCTCAAGACCTCACCTTCCTCCGGGCACCAGCCTCCGCTTACCACATGCATGCTCACATTATCTCTCTCGAAGGAACTGAGCCCGGGACAGGCCAAGCTCCCATATCACCCAGCCACATCTCACTTTCAGTTTTCCTTTCTGCTGGGTTCTTTGCGTGTGGACCTGATCCGGGTGATAGCTGGAGCCCTGAAGCTGAGGTTTCAGTTCCCACCGGCGGGGCACGCTGCCTCAGACGGCCTTCGGGGGAGGGGAAGGGGCTTTCTCTGGGTGCCCTTCTTTGAGCTCTTCCCTGACCCAGAGCCCCAGTTTCCTTTCCTTCTTTCTTTTTAAATTTTATTTATTTTTGGGTCTTTGTTGCCGTGCAGGAGTCTCTCTAGTTGCGGCTAGCGGGGGCTGCTCATGGCGGTGGCTTCTTTTGAGAGCCCCAGTCTCCTTTCAGAGCTGACTGGAGTGAGACATGAGAGGCGTTTTGTCCAGTAACTTTGGAGTTCCTCGTGGTCTCCTGCACCGTGAGTCCCTCCAGGAGGACGACGACTGCCCCTAGGAAGTTGCAAGTCTCAGGTTCCCCGGGTGTTCCCTGGCCACCAGGCCTTTTCCTCGCCTCCAGCCCTGGTCCAGCCCCACCTGTTAACAGCCCAGATTTTTCTCCTCTAGAGAATCTAGAATTTGCCCAGAGCTACAATGTACACACCACTTACATTCTCTGTTTTTCATTGATATAGAATGGAAAAATGTACTCACGAACAGAGCTATTGTGGGGATTATGTCATAGACTGCATCTGGGCTCCTTCCTTTCTGAGCGGGGAGCCCAACTTTAACCCCTCTCCTACCAGGAAATCCTCCTTGGCCAGACAAAGCTCGCCTTGGAGTTGGCTCTTTGTGGGTGGTTTAAAGGGCTTCTTCCGTTGTGACAGCCCTTTTTATCCACATTTAAACTTTTCTTGCCCAACTCAAGTGCTGGAGGCTTTCTGTAGGAGGGACCTACCCTGCTGGGCTGGTCCCTCCCACCTGAAAGCAGAAGGCTTCAGCAGACAGGCCAGTGGGCTGGAGACCGAAGGGGTCTCTGGACCCTTGGACAAGCCCTGGACTTTCTGCCTCTTGGAGTTCCCAGCTCCCTGATCGCCCCAGCCCCACTCCTTACCCCCGCAGTGCACTCTGAAACCTAAGGAGACTGTACAGCCTTGGCTCTCCTCCCCCGTAGTTGGATCGCAAAGGCGAGGACACCCTTCCGAAAGGCTGGGTGACTTCTCTCTCTCCAAACTTGCGGAATTCTTTTCCACACCCCACTTAGAGACCCCGTTGGATCAGAGCTCCTTTGAGAATCATCCAGGAGTTCCTCTGCCCTCGGGGAGGAACACAGCAGACAGAATCCCCTGGAAGCCAGGTTCCTTCCAAACAGTGAAAACTAAAATGGGGAGGGGGGGAAGCAGCGGCTGGGGAAGGGAGGTGACACTGCTTTTGTGTGTGTGTCCACGTAGATGACAGTTCCCCGTGATCCTCTAAGGATGTGCTGTGGGCCGGCTCAGGATGTCTGCATTCCTGGAAATCCCCGTCTCCAGGAGCCCCACGTCCACACATGTGGCCTTTCTCCCTCTTGGCCAGGAATCCTGCTTTGTTCCCCAGCCACTCGGCGTGCCCTCCGGCCCATGCCCTGACAGCAGGAATTGTCCGGTCCGCCTGTCAGCACACACACCCCTGGGCACACTCTTGTCTCCTGGGCAGGTTTCGTTCGGCTGCACACTCAGTGGGAGCGCCAGCATACCCCTCACCCCAGGGTGATGCCAGGGACCACCGTCAGGCTTTTCCTCTGTCCTTCTCTCACTCCTGCACCCCCACCTCCTCTCCATTCAGTGACAGCAGCCTCACACCGAAAAGGAAAGTCTTGGCTCCGTTACATAATTCTCCATAGTGCAAGCAGTAGCTGGGGCAGAAGGTCAGAGGTCACAGTGGGGTCAGGTGGCTGACACACACTGTAACGACAAGGTGGTTAAAATTAGACCACAGAGAGGAAACTGGCAGTCTTGTGGAAATGCAGAAGTTTCCTCTGCAAGTGAGAGGCTGGGGATGCAGGGAGGCCGCTGTGCGTGCTGGCTGCCAGGCTATTACTCATTTCAGCTCTGTTCTTTAATGCCTCTTAGCCCCTGCTTCTGTATTTCTAGCCTTCCTCATCCCATGTGTGAAGACACGCGATGGAACCCACGGTGACCTGCCCTGGCCCGGCATGCACTTCTTTCCTCCTTGGAAGCACAGGATGAGGCACCCCAAGCTCATGACAGCTATCCTTCCCTCAGCCGCTCCCGGGTAGCTGAGCACCTTTCAGGCCAGCCTCCCAGGTGGTCGAGGTATTCAGCCTTCGATTCAGGCCTCAGTTGCCTCACAGGCCGTTGGTGGGGCCAGCAGAGGCGCTGTCAGCCCTGAGCCGTGTGCCTCCATCCTGGGCCTCCATCCAGGCTGAGACGTGGCCGAGGAGGCTGAGTGTGCGGTCAGCCTCCCCCGGCCACCGGCTGCCGGAGAGGTGCTTGTCTCCACCGGCTCTTGGCGGACTTGGGTCATGCCTGCCTCAGCTCTCCCTCTGGCACCCAGCCTGGCTTCCCTACGCCTCTCAGCCCTTCCTATGCACCTCCCGAGTGCCCTGCTTGTCCCGGCACCTCTTGCCAGGGAAGTGCAAGAGGTTATCTCTGCCACCAGGGGGTCGGGGGTTATCACCCAGGCAAGGGCGATGACAAAGACACCTGTGCACCACTGAGCAAACAGTCTAAGACAGTCTCCGGGTTCATTAGCGTACTGTGCGGCGCAGCCAGGGCAGTCCCCGTCATGTGATAGGATGGGAGGCTTGAGGTTGGTGGCAGGTGGGGGGCCGGAGTCATGGTCACAGGGGGGCTGCCGCCCTACGGCATGTTTGACCACTGCAGTGTTTCCTCGTGGGAATGGCCTTCACTACTTGTGAGCTCCAGATCCAACGGGGGCCCCTCTCCTCCCTTGGTGAGTGCCCTCCCAGAAGGGAGGAGAGGACCCCAGAGGCCAGGGAGGAAGAAAAGGGCACAAGAAGGTGCAAAGCAGGTAGGTTTGCAGGTCTCGCAGGAGAAGGACCCCAGGCGGGGTGACTATGGAAACTTTATCTCAGCCACTTACAAATGTGATGATTGCTCAAGACACTGATTTCATTTCAGCTAAATCAGCCCCAGCTTCTCCAACAGCACTGGCTTGTGTGCTGATGTGGCCACATGGGAGCGGGACAGCCCAAACCCCTGGAGGAGCAGAGCGTGGTGGAACACCCTGCTCCCACCTGCTCTGCCTGTCTCCCTTCTCCTGACTACAGTTTCCTGCCGGACCCCTGTCTCTTGAGCATGAGAAGCTCTTAGGTGGGGCAGGAACCTGTCAGGGGAAACCTGAAATGATCTGGCTGAAATGAAACAGCCAAGAAAGCCCTCATCATTCATTTCTCACTCAGGCTGAAAGTTCTCCCCTCAGGAGTCTGGCAAGAGTGGAGCTGGGAGCAGCATGGAGAGTGGCAGTGAGAGCACCAGGACTCCGCGTTCTGTGACCGTCAGCATCTTACCCTCCGCCCCTCCTCCTGTCCAGCTAGATACCATATCAGGACTTAGGTCACAGAGAGGCAGAACCCCAGAGGACAGCGGTCACTGGTGCTGGGGTTGTCCGCCACCCTAGAGGTGACCTGAGGGGAGATGCTGGTGACTCAAGGATCTTGGCCTTTGGCCTCATCTCACATACACACGCTCCCGCTCACTCTCTCTGCGCACCCCCACCTCACAGATGACACATTTCTCGGGTGCCCCTAAGCCTCCAGTCAATGTCTCTCATCTTCCCTTTCAGAAAGTGCTGTTTTTCTTCTCTCCCTCTCGCCCCGTAGGTTATTGCAGCCGACTGCAAAAGGGTCACAGTGCTGAAGTATTTTCTGGAAGCCCTTTGTGGACAAGAAGAGCCTCTGCTGGCATTCAAGGGTGGAAAATATGTGTCAGTGGCACCCGTCCCAGACACCATGGGAAAGGAAATGGGAAGCCAAGAGGGAAAACAACTGGAAGATGAGGTACAATGCGGGAAGAGCCCGCTGTGGCCGGGGGACGGCTCCCCAGCCCTGTGCTGCCCAGGGTTCAGTATTGACCCTTGGTTATTTATAACCACCCAGAGCAGTGGCGATGCCGACGTGACCAGCCGGCCCCTCAAGAGTGCACTCTGCTGGTGCCCCTTCCTGCCATTCCCACCCCAGTGCCTCCATCTCGCTCTGCTACGAGTTCCAGATGCTTCTTTTTAATGTTGCATTGGAGGAGAAGGGAGGGAAGAAAGAGTTTAATAATGTGCAGCTCTGGAGGCTTAGAGAAGGGGGTCGGGGGGGTGGGGAGTGTTAGGGTTCAGGCCGAGGATCAAGTTTATGGATGTGTGGAGCCCAGCGCAGCGCAGGCCCGAACTGCAGCCTGCAGCACACGCACAGGAAGAGCTGACATTGCTGGCCCCGTGTGGAAAATCACCCCCTCCCTCGCTCCCTCCCGCCCTCCCTCCTGCACATCCTGATGTGATTAAGGAATTCTCCTCTTGTTTGTTTGCCCTTGGTTGTTCCTGTAGCCCTTGCCTCACTCCAGACAGTGTGTGTGTGCGTGTATGTGTGTGCGCCAGCCCGAGTGCCCGCCCCTGCCAGACCCCACTGGTGTTTGCCTCGCCGTGGATGGAGGTTTCTTTCTGGGGGTGACTGTTACTGTGGTTCTCTGTGCAGGAGGTTTGTGTGTCGGCTTAAGTTGAACACTGCTGCCAGCTGCCCCACCATCTGTGGGCTGTGAGTTGATGTGAGGTGGGACACTGTGGGTGCGTGTGTGCATTTACTGCCGCTGCCCGCTGCCCTGCTGTGTGCCTGGGTGTGGATGACTGCTGGGGGTGCACACAGAGCCCACTTTGCCTGATGCTCGTCTCTTCCCTCCTCTTTGCCCCCCACCCCGCCAGTGTTAGAGGCAGAGGGGGCTTAGGTGGGAAGGAACGTGGGACTCAAGGAGGGGACGGAAGTGACTGCAGCCAGAGGCCAGGTCAGCCGTCGGCCAGCACAGTCATTTGGCCTGCGGCGGTCTCCAGCGCCCGGTGGAGCAGGGCGGGGTTCAGGGATGAAATCAGCAGCAGGCCCGGGAAGCCAGATGTCAGCTGGAAGCTCTCGCTGGTGATCTGAGGCAGTGATAGAGTAGCCACCTTTGCTTCAGAGTCTTCAGAGCAGCACAGTCTTGGATGGACTTCATTGGAATAGCTGGAGAACCCCACCCCACCCCTGATGACACAGGGCTCCACTTCCAGGCGAGAGGTGGTTCCAGGGATGAAGCTGAGCCCATGATTCCAGGCCCTCCAGATGAAACCTGGGCAGGGAGTAACGGGAAAGAATGAGCTGTCAGTATGGGAGGAGCCAGTGGGCTTACTAAAGCCACTGGGGTGTTCAGGCTCTGGGCAGGGCAGAGCAGTGCCACCCAAGCCCTGGGCACCATGGAGGGAAGCCTGGGCGGGGTAGCGCCCCAGTGGGCTCTCTCACCCATGTTTTCAGGCTGAGGCAGGCAGTAGAAGGTGAGCAAGGTAGCTCTCCAGGGTACTGCAGGAGATGTCCCCTGGCCCCAGGAACCTGCCGGACCAGATTCAGGGAGGCAGGCAAGCCCAGAGGGAGGGGCTCCTCCCCTCCCACAGGAAACAGTCCAGCTCCTGGGCCAGGTCTTGGCTATGCCCCACTGTCTCCCTCCCTCTAAGGCTTCTTGACCCGACAGAGGTTGTGACCCATGCCGTGCTGCCCACTTCTTCCTTTTCCCACGAGCCTCCTGGGTTCCTTTGTGTTAGTGGCCCCTGGGAAACCCTGCTTACCCTGGTCTGTGTAATTTCACAACCCTGCACTTCCTCGTTTGGTGTGAGAGCTGAGCCAACCTCAGACAAGCCTCACTGACCCTCTTTTGACCTCAGTCAGGCTCAGCGCGAGCCCCATGATAACCCTGTGTATCACTGATCAGAGCAGGCAGGGGCAGTGTCTCCCACAGGCCGGCCAGAGACTTGACTGCACTCACCCCATCCAGGTTAACCCCTAAGACAGGAAGTAAATGTGCAGAGAGAGCCTTCCTCCTTCCCAAGGCCTGGGCCGCTCTGGAAGCTGGTGACACTGCGGGAGCCTGCAAGTTTTCAGATGAGTAGTGACTGTGGACAGCACCCCAGACCCCTGAGACCTCTTAGGTTAGTGGCAGTTCTGAGCTCTCGTCTAGTGGCCCCATCCTGAGATCTCGTCCCTCTCCACCCTGTAAGACTGAGTCACTTAAGGTGATCGAGAGAGGAAGGGGGGAGCTGTTTATTCAGACATCATTCTTCATGAGCAGAACAGAGTCCATTTCCTTAAGGATGCTGCCGACACACCTAACTCCCCACCCCTCAATTCTCCTAAAGCAAGGCACTGCCTACCCACAGACCCACTCTGCTCACCACTTTCCACAAAGTGTGTCTGTCGGAATGCCATCGCAGTGGGCAGTTGGAGGGAAGGGTAGCCTGTGTTGAGCAGGATCCCTGTGGGCCTGTGGGAGCACAGCTGGGCCGCTGATGCTGGCCCTGAGCTCCATCTAGGTCCAGGGCTGCACCTGCGCCATTGGGGGTCGTTGATAGGAGCGCGGACTTTGGAATCAGACTCACTAAGGTTTGAATCCCTGTTCTGCCCCTTGCTTGCCTCATGACTCTGAGCAAATTGTTTTAACTCTCTAGACCTCCATTTGTTCATTTACTAACTAGGGGTGATGATAGCATCCATTCACAGGCTGTTGTATTAAATGAGTTAATACATGAAAAATGCTTAGCCGGGTACCTGGCTTCATAGTAAGCATTCAGTAAATGACAGCTGTTACTGTCATAATTATCATCATTATTATCATCCAGTTATCATTCAGACCCAGGAATTTTCTGCTCAACCACCCCCTGTTACCCGTGTTAACACTGTCCCTCCAAGGGAGCTCTCTCAGGCAGCTGCATGTTCTCCACTGACCAAGGCCAAGAGTGAGGGAGCGAGAAGTGGAGCCCAGGACCACCCGGGGAGTAGTGGCTTCTAAGAGTCGAGGCTGAGAGCAGGGAGGTGCCATCCCTGGGGAAGGCGCCTCCAGCCTGGCAGGAGATTCCTTAAGCTAGCCTGCCTTCTCCCAGTCTGTCCTGGCCCCTGGAGGGCAGCTGTGCAAGGTCATGTCATGTGAATTCCTATCATGGGGCCCCCAGCCCTCACACCGCCAGCCTGTGGTCTTAAAAAGAAACCAGGGCAAGGTCTGCTGAGCTGCAGCATCTGCTCCCTGACGCCGTCTGGGGCGAGGGCGTGTCCACACCCAGATCCCAGCTGTTGGCCAGAGTGATTCCTATCAGATCATTAGCATGAATTACACTTCAGTTGGGTGGTTTAACTTTCTCTGTCGTTTTCCCCTTTGGTGAGTTTCAAAATGAAAATAGGCCCAAAGTTTGATGTTTGGAGTATGTGCAAAGAAGAGAGGACTGTGAATGTAGGCATGGAAGTAGATACAGTGTGGACCTGTGAGTGTGCAAGAGGAGGACCCTGGAGTGCACAGGAGAGCCGGGGGAAAACGTGACACTCCCCGAGCCGAGGGGAGCACGCACCGTGGGGCCCTGTGCAGGGAGTGGTCAGAGAAGCCCGAGTTGAGATGCGGGAGGGACCAAAGGGTGGGCCTGGTCAGCGCTGTGGGCTCACGGTCTCCTCTCTCTCCTGATGTGCGCCCCCACTGAAGGAGGAGGACGTAGTGATTGAAGACTTTGAGGAAGACTCGGAGGCCGAAGGCAGCGGGGGCGAGGACGACATCAGGGAGCTTCGGGCCAAGAAGCTGGCTCTGGCCAGGAAGATAGCGGAGCAGCAGCGTCGCCAGGAGAAGATCCAGGTGGGGCCCGGCCAGGCACACGGTTCTGGTGTGGGTGGTGGTCTGCTTAGGGCCCAGGGGAGATGGAATGGGGGTGAGCAGGACCCTCTTGCTGGGACCTGACTGGTTCCGCCACCTGTGGTGTTCTTCCGCTGCTAAATTCTGGTTCAGCGCCTGCAGTCCCCCTCCTCCTGGGATCCAAGGCAGGGTCAGCTTCTTCTCCAAGAATCTGCTGAAAGCTCCTCCCCCTGTGATGATCTGTGATGCCACACAGACCCTACCTTTCACACAGTTTCGGGGGTTTCCCAGTTCCCCTGAGCCTCGTGCAGACACTCCTGGAGAAACCAAGGTTCTCTATTGAGAACACCTGTTCTCGGGGGTGAGCTGGCGTCATGGCCACCGTCTGTGTGCATGTATTCCCACTGTAATGGCCGAGCCCCTCTGGATAGGACACGCTAAATCCTTCAGAGAGAAATTACTCAATCTCCACACCAGGATTCTCACATCAGCGGGCCTCTCGTGGACCCATACTGTCCCTGCCTGCAAGCTTTTCCTTATGGTTCGCCCAGGTCCGACTCTTGTGCTGTAAGCTCACTTCCTCTTATCTATTCCTCTTATCCATCAGGGCAGACAGAGAAGGGCTGGCCACGCTCCTGCTTTAAGACTAGCTGCACACGTAGGGAAGCGCCAATCCTCTTCAGGGATGTCTGTCTTCAGCCTTCTCTTCACCCACCTCTGGCCTTTGGCATGGAGCATAGTACGTGTGGTCAGGCCAACCTGATCAGGCTGGGCTCCACCACTTACCAACCATGTGTCTTTGGGCACATGGTTTAACTTCTCCGAACCAGTTTCCTCATTTGCACAATGAAAGTAGTGACAGCACCTCCCTCGTGGAGTGGCTGAGAGGCCTGCAGGAGCCGGTGTGCGTGCACAGCGCGTGTCACACAGGGTGTGCTCATGACTGACAGCGGACTGATGGTCTCGTCCGTCGAACAGAGCCCTGCCCTGGGAAGAGCTCTGTCTGTTGGGATCCATGGGCCTTTAGACACATGTGCACCAGTCAACCTGTTGGAATTAAGTGTGTGGTATCTCTGCAGCACCACCATCACGGTGGTATGGCCACTGCCTTCCTCTTTCTGTGATCTCTCTAAACCTCTGTCCTGGCCCTCAGAGCTTCACCCTCAGGCTGTCTTTCTTCCTGACTTGTGGCTCTTTTCTTCCTCACCATCAGTCGTCCCAGAAGTTTTCTCCATACCACCACCTCCATTTCTTGACTCTGTGACTCCCAACAGTCATAGAGTCGACTGTATTAGAGGTCCCCAAGTACCTGTCTTTGTTGGTTCTTCATCACACTTCCTTGTGATGTGTGATGACTTCCCTGTGGCTTTGGGCCCTGAAGCCACCTCCCTGCAGCTCACAAGGACCCTCGTATTCTGTCTGTTGACCACACCAACCTCCTGGGCTTCTAGACCATTGTTCTTTACTTGGTTCTTTACTCCTCCTTCCTTTCTCTTACTTCTTAGTCTCAGCATGCAGAGTTGACACTCAGCAGATATTTTTGTTCAATGAGTTCATGAATGATACCAAGGAGAGCATCATCTTTTTTTAATTTTTAATATTATTTATTATTACTTTTTGGCTGTGCTGGGTCTTTGCTGCTGAGTTTGGGCTTTCTCTAGCTGTGGCGAGTAGGGGCTACTCTCTTCACTGTGGTGCTCAGGTTTCTCCCTGCAGTAGCTTCTCTTGTTGCAGAGTGTGGACTCTAGGGCAAGGCTAGGTAGTTTTGGTTCACAGGCTTAGTTGCCCCACAACATGTGAGATCTTCCCAAATCAGGGATCAAACCCGTGTCCCCTGCTTTGGCAGGTGGATTCTTAACCACTGAACTATCAAGGAAGTCTGAGAGCATCATCTTAAAGTTCCTCACTAGCTTTTAAGCCTCTACGGCATGCAGGCTTTAGTAGTGGTGGCACATGGCTTAGTGGCTGCAGCTCCCGGGCTCTAGAGCACAGACTCAGTAGTTGTCGCGCACAGACTTAATTGCTCCACAGTATGTGGGATCTTCCCAGCCCAAGGATTGAACCCTTGTCCCCTGCACTGGCAGACAAATTCTTTACCACTAAGCCACCAGGGAAGCCCACTCGTGTCTGATTTCTTATCAGATCCTGTGCACTCATTCATGCCCTCCTCTCCTCTCCATTCCCATCGCCACAGCTGCTGCTGTAGCCCAGGGATTGACTAGATTGGAGCCAGCAACCCTGCACTGCACAAGTCTGACAGGGTCCTATTTACCTTGGAGTCTGTGAATGGCAGCTCCTGGAGTTGTGGTACTGGGTCTGCGAGCCAGGCTTACTGCCTGCAGTGTATCATTATACATAGTTTCTTCGTTCCCTTCCCAAAGAGCCACTCCCCTGCCCAGGAATAGTCAGCACCTTTGCTTGGCTAATAAAGTTGAATTCCTTACTGTCGCATCTGAGGCTCTTCCCAGTCTGTTTTCCCAGTCTCTTCTCTCATTCCCCGTGAGCCCTCACAAGCCGTGTGATGTTGGGCAAATGCTTTAACTTCCTCGAGCCCGTTTCCTCACCTGTCAGACAAAAGTGGTGACAGCACCTCCCTCAGAAGACAGTGCACGCCAAGTGCCCGTCCATCCAGACACTCCAGCCCCGCTGCCTGGACAGCACTAACCTTCCTTCCGCCCACCGTCCCCAGACAGTGCTCCCCTTCCCCAAGCGCACGTCTTGGTTCCTGCTGCTCCCTCAAGCCCAAGTACCCTTTCTTCTGCTCCACATTTCCTATTACCTGTTGAAATTCTAGTCTTCCTTCAGTCCCCAGACGAAACCCCATCTCCCCAGTGAAGCCTTCCCCGACTCCCCCCAGGAGGAGTCATCTCTCTGCTCAGTGTTCCTGTGGCACTGATTTATACTTCACCCGTGAAACGTATATCGCGTCTCAGATTACACTTATTGCTGGGCTTGTTCCCCCACCGCACCGTGAACTCCTTGGAATCAGGTCCTGTGTCTTCCGCTTAGTGTGGTAAGCAATGCTGAGCACCTACCAGGCTGGTTACAAGGGGACATGCAGGTGAACCAAGAGAGTCCCTTCCCAGAGTGTCCACTGGCGCAGAGAAGTCAGTGACGTGACGTGGGAGCGAGCCCTGTTACCAAAGGGGAGCGCCAGCTGCTGGAGGAGCACGTGCCGGGGGACCTGGCCTTGTCCCAAGCGCCGTGGGCAGCCTGGCCTCACCAGTGACGAGCGGTGCCTGACAGCGGTCTCGTGCGGGACTTGACTTCCGGGGCCTGTGGCCGCTCCTGCCGGGGGGGCCCGTCTGGCCCGTCGGCTCCCTCAGAGCAGTGTGCTCGGGTCCAGGCACTGAGGGCCTGCTATGGGCCGTCAGGCTGTGCGGCTGGGGCCCCTTTAAGAGCAGGCCCCACATGCGCCGCTGCTGGCGGCCTGCCTCCTGTCAGCCCTCTTCCTCCAGCCTCACAGCCACAGGAGGATTTCTCAGCAGAGAAAAAATTCCCCCCTTCCCTTCTCCCCGCCCCCCTTTAATGCCCGGGGCCCTTCACTTCCATAATTCTTCATTTTCCAGCCTTGAACGTAAGCCAGACACATCTGTCTGGCCATATGCGTGAACCCTGGAGTCTGTGCCGAGGTGGCTGTAAAACAGGGCCGGTGAAGGCCCTTCTGGGAGAGCACACACATGTGTGTGCCCTCAGGCCATTGGCTCCCTGCCCAGAACTACGGGGCTGCAGCGCTCCAAACCCATGTTAACCTTTTCTTATTTTTCCTCTTTTTGTTTAATTTAAGGGGGGAAAATCCCAAGGAAAAGGTATAAATTGTCCTGGGAGTGGGGGAGAGGCTCCTAGCTGGAGAGGCCATTATTGTTGGCAGGTACCTGGTCACACTAATACAATAAGGAAGAGAGGAGCATCGGGTGAATTAAGATCGGGGAGATGGGCTGTAAATTACACGGCTCCGAACCCCCTCCGTCTCCAGGGGTGTTAACCAAGAGGTGTAAGGCAGGTCCCCAGCTCCCAGCGCCTTTTACAGATGCAGCAAAACAGGAACCACACATGTTTGGGGAAGGGGATATGAAGATGGGGTTGGAAAAAACCCTCCTGGCCCCCATGCTGGCTGTAAAGCCCAACTGAGATCTGGGGCCAGAGCCACACCCCCGCTTCCCTGCTCCCACCTAGACCCCTGGGCCTGTGCTCAGCTGCGGGATGGGGGGAGGCGAGGCCTGGCCTCCTCCGCAGCCTGTCCCTCCCCGCTTCCGGCGTTGCACAGAGGCTGGTGAGCGGGGCCGGCTGGAGGTCAGGAAAGGGGTGTGGGCAGCTCTTAGGACCTGTGCAGCTGGAGCCTCGGCGCCCAGGCCGGGCCCTGGACACTGGGGGCCAAGTGCGCCCACCCAGGGAGGGCTTCGAGGCCGCCCTCTCGACTCAGCCCAGCCTTCCTCCGTTGCCCGAGATGGCTCTGCGTCTTGCCCTGGTTGTGCCCACCTTGCTGCCTTCTGCCAAGATCCTTTTGTTCTCATTGCCCTTCTTGGGAGGTGTCAGAGACCAGAGCAGGGGGCCTGGTTTGTCTGGGAAATTGGTCAGAAGTGTTTCATTCCTAACCAGGCCCCCAGGGCAAAGCAGTCACTGAAAATCCTCCTCCGGGCTCGAGGCGTGGCCTCTTGGCACCTCACCCTGGCCCTGTGAATCCCCCGCCTCCTCTCTGCCTCCACGAGGCTCTGCTGTGATTTGTGCTGCTGTCGGGCGGGGTCAGGTTTCCTGAGCAGTTGCAAACATCCCACCTGAAACATAACAGGCTCTTCCTCTGGCCACAGCTATTGTTTCTCTCGGCATTATGGCCGCAGCCTTGCTCCGTAGCCAGCAATGACATGTGTTCTGAAAATAACTTCACTCCCCGTCCCCTTCCCGCCCACCCACCCTCCTGAAGATGCGGTCACTCCTTTGTGACGGCCCCAGGAGTTTCATGCTAAATATAGCTGCAGCCCATTCACACTGCCACCCAGCTGCGGGGGGCGGCGCTGTGGAACAATGGGGCATGCACAGAGCCCCCACACCTGTATGGAATCCAGCGGAAGGCGGACACTCAGCTCTGGCTCCTAACTGTCGGAGACGGGGCGGGAGCCAGCGCACTACCCGGCCAGGGGCACGTTCACGCCAGGACAGGAAGGCACAGCAGCCCGTGGAGCTGGGCAGACGCCCATCCCAGAGCTCGCTTCAGCCATTCGCACCTCCCTTGCTCCTGCAGCATCCACAGGGGGCTGTCCTCCTGAGAGAGGTCAGGCTTTTTGGCCGAAATACCCTTGGGCTGCTGCCTGGAGCAAGCCCAGGGGTGGCATGCTTGGCCCTGCCACTCCCTGTCCATCTTGAAAGGGCAGCAAGAAGTAGCGAGCAAGTCATCATAATTATAGCTTTGAAAAAGATGGCAAGTATATGTTAAGCTCTGTGGTACCGACTCTGGATATTCAGAGAAGGGATCCTAAGCAGAAATGTTCCCATGAGCAACCCCCCTGCAATGAAGATGCTAAGGGAAGCCAATGACCTGGGCTGCTTTGTGGAGCAGATGCAGAATCTGCACCCGTGGGTTTCTTCAGCTCAAGAAGGAACGCCTGGGAGTTCCTTGGTGGTCCAGTGGATAAGACTCGAAGCTTCTACTGCAGGGGGCGTGGGTTCAGTCCCTGGTTGGGGGACTAAGATCCCACATGCTGCACAGGGTGTCCCCCCAGAAAAAGAATGTCTGCCTGTAATGCTAGTGGTTATCTCACTAGCTTTTCCTATTGTATATTTCATTTCCATTTTTCCAGCTTTTTTAATTTTCTTAAAATACCTCCACTTAACTTTAAATACTTAAATACTCCACATAACTTTACATAGATTAAAAAAAAAAAAAAAAGGAAAAAGAAACCACCAAGAGCACCATGAATCGCATTAACAGAGGTCAGCAGTCCACTGCCTCACCACCCCCAGCTCTGCTCCCTAGTGGTTGCCCCAGATAGTCACCCCCACTGGATATATAAGAGGTGAAAAATGGAGTTGGGCAGGAAGAACGGAAACTGAAATTGGTTGTTACTAATATCAGGCATCTAGCTAGATACTTTCAGACACAGGATGAGCGTGGAAATTCGCTGTTACCACACTTCTCATTTCTGGTGAAGACATTGGTCTGGCCAGAGAGGCCCAGGGATCAACAGTCCCATCAGCCTGTGGCTGCAGTCCCTGTGGAGCCCTGAGCAGAAGGAAGGCCTACTCTTGACCTGGCGCTGCTCTGTGACCCGAGTTCCTCCAGTTCCACGACTCCCGTGTGAACTAACGGCGGTACCTTTATTTGTAACTCTCAGTGTCTCAATTTCTAAAAGGGTCAGCCTCCCCCAGTCATCCCCAGCACATCGAAGGAGGAAGTTAACCTGTGAGGGAGCCCTTTCTGGGGACCCCGGCCCGGTAGCTTCCTCCTCAGATGTTGCTGTGGACCAGCCCCCTCCCAGGTCCCCACTAGCCTGCTTGCTCCAGGGTGCCTCTGGGCTTCAGAGAAAGTTGGTTACTGAGTCCCTTCCAGACACAGAGTTAAGTTCTTTGCTTCTTCACACTGGATGACTTCATGGTGCCTGTCGCCCCTGGTCTGATCCAGCATGTCCACGCTTTCCCTAGGGTTCCCAGCTCTGCATCAGAGGACCACTGCGGCCCAGCCTTCGCCGCAGCGAGAAGGGTTCCTAAAGACCTCTCCTTCCGGGTCAGCACACTTGACTCCGGGCCAGGGCCAGTCTGTCTGAATCACAGCATTCCAGTTGCGCCCCCCTCACCCCCACCAGAGGCTTCTGCAGCTTTTTGCTCATACAAACAAAAATAAATCTCACTACCGGCCTCTGAACTCCGCGGCAGCATGCTTCCCCCTCTCCCCGAGCGTCCCATGGCTCTGAGTGGGGACTTGGCACTCGCCCCACCGACATCACTTTTTCACTCCCTGCGCATCCTGTGTCCTTCTCTCACCGTGCGACCCAGGGATCAGAGTGGGACGTGACGGCCGGCACAGGCGCCGTGCACAGCTGCCAGGAATCTGACGGGTAAAATCTGGAAAAGTTGGGAGGGCAAATGCTAAACACACACACATACACACACATACACACACACACACACACACACAGCGCCACTCAGAGGGCCGGAAACACCGACACCCACAGACAAGGGCCTGCGATTCCCAATCCTTCCTCGTCTGAATTCTCTTAAGGGGACTGGGCTAGTGTCATGACCCAGGCATGACCCCCCCCTCCAGAGGCCTACTGGCACCCCCAAAAGAAGGGGGAGCAGCTTCATCGAGTCTCCTGAGACCCAGGAGGGCATGTGGGGAACAGGAAGCAGGCATGCAGTGAGTCACTGGGCAGAAACCAGGTTAAGGGAAGTTGTCCGCGGGTGTCCCCGGGACCGGATGGTGGCAGCACAGCCCCGACCACCCTCAGCAGCTCGGTCCCACCCACCCCTGGGGACCCAGCCTGGCTGCCACCTCCCCACAATGCTGTGGCCTCCGTTCACCTTTCTGGCCCCGAGCCAGCGCTCAAGGAACTCAGACGGCGCACACTTCCCTGGACCTTGTGCCTAGATTTTTCTTCCGTCCTGTCATCAAAACACCCAAGCGGGCTCAGCCCCCCGCCTCCCTCGGCCACCTGGCCTAAGGGCCCTCCCAATGAGGAAGGATGGTCCGAGGTCTTGGGAGCTCATTGTTCCTGCAGGGTAGAAAGGGCAGCCAGTGCCACTTCCTTAGGGTCAGCCTGAGGGCCGGAGGGTCACTTCTGGAGGCAGGAAAACTAAGATGTGACAGGGGTCCGAGTGGGGGAGGCGGCGGCAGAGATGCCGTGCTCAGGCGAACCTGACATCAGGGCTCATCCTGTCCCTTCTCACCGAGAAAGACAGAGGTTTGGGGGCCCAGGACACCAAGAGAACGTTCCTGGCAGTGGACAGGCTGGTGGAGAGCTCAGGCCTGGGAAGAGGAGTGACGGGAGGAGAGGCTGGAGCCCCACCCGTGAGCAAAGGCTGGGGTGCTCACTGAGCCTGAGCAGGACCGTTTCTTGTCCTCACAAACTACCCACGCCATCACACGTGTTCTGTGTCGACTCCCTCACAGTGAGAAGTGATATTTAAATGCCCAGACTGAGTTCGATGGAACGTGTGTCACTCTCTAGCTGGCAGCCCCAGGGGGAGGGCTGGGGACCCAGGTTCCTGGGAAGGTGGCCCACAGGCCAGGTGCTTTCCCTTCCCGAGTGAGAGCCGCAGGAGACTTTGCAGGCAAGCCCCGGGCCGCGTTTCTCATGCCCGCCAGCGCCCTGTGCCTTCCACCAGCTGTGGTGGCAGTGGCAGCAGCAACTTACTCAAAGGGAAAGGTCCCCAGCAGGTCACAGAGGAGCCACCCCCGGCATTCGGAGGCATGCCCTTTCAGTTTTACTGTCACTGCCAGTGAAACCTGAACACCTTCCTCACTGACTGTTAGTGGCCAGGGCCCAACCCATGGGCCCCATCTCAGTTGGCACGCACATCTGCTCCCCTGCTCAGGGCTCGTGTCTGTGTGCCTGCAAGTTGGTGTGTGGCAGGAGGCCACAGGAGGGCAGGGCAGGGCTGGGACCTGCGTGCCGGGTGCTCTCCAGCTCCACACACAGGGGGCACGGGGTCTGGGCAGATGCCCACAAACCAGCTTGCTTCCTGGCCGTGGTCCCCAGAAGACGAAGCAGCCAGAGAGTGGCCAGGCCCCGCAGTGACAGGTGGACCCAAAGCCTATCTCCCAGGGCCTCTGCCACGCGTGCCCTGTCAGACTTGAGAAAATTGGGCTCTTCCAGATGGGTATGGAAGCTGCCCTGAAAGATGGGAACGTATGAGACTGACAGGCTCCAGGCCATGAGCTTTCCGAGGGGTGCAGCCCAGACCACTGGTGCTACCCGAGGGGTTTTTTTTAGTGATGCGTAGGAGACACGCTGACTCTTGGCTGTGGAAATTGAGCTTGAACTGGTAAACATGCTTGGGCGCTCAGACTCCCGATACCACGTATGTTATTTGCTGAGCCACAGAAGTGAGTTGATTCGAAGTCCATCTAAAGAAAAACACCAAGTAAACAAACAGTATAGATTGTACAGAGTTGTGGCAAAGCAGCGCGGGTGGATCACAGACGACCTCTGCTTAGGGAGCCCCGGGCTGGCCGGGGGAAGACAGCCTTCATTCTCATCAGTCTGGATGTCATTCTCTGCAGACATGTGACTTGGGAAGTCATTGGTCCCGCCGTGTGGACTCCTGCCACTCGGGGTACCAGTTATTAGTTGTCAGCATCACTTTTTTTGCATAGGTTTTGAGGTGGTTCTTTTTTCTTTCTTTCTTAACTGCACAGTGAAGTAAATGGAAATGACAAATTCTGTCCGAGTATATGTGTACATTTAAAGTATCTGGATTAAGAAGTACCTCCTATGTTCTCAGTAGCGCGTGTGAAACCACTCTCGTGCGCCTCGTTGATTTTTAGCCCCAGGCCTGCCTTTCAGAGCCCCGTTATTTTGAATGCCATCAGGGTCCCTTCTCAGTCCCACGCAGTGTTTTAATCACACCCAGTTCCCCAGGCCATTTGGTCTCCCTGGGTTTGTCTCGGGCCAGCCTCCCGGGGGGCTGGCTGTCCCTCTGGAGTGGGGGGCGAGGCCGAGGGGCAGGGCACTGACACACACAGTGGAGTCAGGGCCTGGGCTGGCCCGCCGCTGGCCTGCTCATTCACCACTCGGCGTCCCCGTAGGCTGTCCTGGAGGACCAGAGTCACGTGAGGCAGATGGAGCTCGAGATCAGACCCTTGTTCCTCGTCCCAGACACCAACGGCTTCATTGACCACCTGGCCAGCCTGGCGCAGCTGCTGGAGAGCCGGAACTACATCCTGGTGGTGCCCCTCATTGGTGAGTCAGGGCTGGGCCTGCCCTGCCCGTGCGCAACGGGGCCCCTCTGCAGGCACGCCCCACCGTGTGTGTAAGACAGGATTTGCAGGGAAGTTGGGAATGCGTGGGGCAAGGAAGACTGTTTAATAATCAAAGCAGTTCGAATTATTATGGCTGATCCGTGGCTTAAACTGCTTGAGCAAATGGACTCCTGTGTCCCAGCAACCAGAGGCTGCCCAAGCCCAGCCCTTGTTTTTATCCTTATAAAGCTCGCAGTAAAACAGCAAAGCTGGTTCCCGTTATTGGTAAACAGTCAGCCCTGGCAGATAACGGCAGTGCTGCTGGGTGGTCTGGCAGGGAGGCTGGGAGGATTTTGAAGTGGTTAGATGCCTTTGGTCTGATGGGCTCGTAGCTTTTCACGATCATTCTGTTGGTTCGAGGTAGCGTTCTTCTGGCCAGTGTCACCCTAAGGCCAGGCCAATGGAGGCCCTCCAGCACAAGCCCTTGGCTCTCGCCTGTGGATTCCTGCCACTTGGGCCCCCACCACTGTCTGGTCGCTGTTTGCTGGTACAGGGTCAGCATCTCAGGGCCGGCTCGCGTGCTTCCAGCCTCAGGCCGGAGGAGCCCAGCTGGGCCATCTCCAGGGACTGTCTAAGGCACCCCTGGTTCTCAGAGCCCTGTGGTGGGTCGGCTTCAGGAGGGCCCCCGGGCTCCTGTCTGTACAGCTCATATAGCCGATAGCGCCGAGAGCTGTCCTCTGGAGGGAGGGGGTCTGGGAGACAACTGGGAAGCCCAGGCTGCTTAATGTCCCCTCTCAGCAGCCACTTGGAACAAGTTTGGAAGCCCTGGCCTCTGGACGGTCTGCCAGACTGGCCGTCTGCCTGCCAAGCCACCTCTGACATCCATGCCAAGATGTTCCACTGGGCCTTCCCTCCCAGTCCCCAGTGCCTGAGTGCCAGATGAGGGTGGAAACAAAGGGCAGGAAACATCCGCCCCTGCAGGGGCTGTAGAACCCTGGGGGGTTGTGGGAAACACGTTAGCACCACCTGAGAATGTTGGCACTGAAGCGGCCCTCGGCCCGCCTCCACCCTCCCTGTCTTCCTTCCCCCTCCCCATGTGGCCTGGCCAGAGCCTCTTCAGCCCAGGCCCTGAGACCCACGGGAAGGTTTTCTGTTCTTCAGAAGTAGAGCAGCTCGTCTCCCCAGGGCCGAGTCAGGCCCTCACGTTGTGGCAGCCACCCCTCTGCCCTTGCCAGGTCCCGGGTGGGGCGGCTTTCAGGAGAGCAAGTCCCAGTGCCCACCTGCCCGGGAGATTTTCAGGGGTAAGAAACGGAATTGGCCGCTCTTTGCTGGATGGTCAGGAAATGGGGTAACTGAGAGAGGCGGCCATGTCTCAGGTTGCTCATCTGTGTCTTGGAAGGAGCCTCAGACACCACCCCAGCCCAACGAGTTCTCGGTTACCAGCACTGATGGTGCCCCTACCATGTGCTCAGGCTCCTTGTTCCCGAGGGGGCCCGTGAAAGGTAGAGCTGCAGCCCTTGGCCTTGATGAGCTTATGGGTCAGTGGGGGAAGCCGGATTATGTGGGGAGGGAGCAAATAATAAGAAGACCCAGAGGAGATGGTAGCTATAGGATAGTCGGCCCCCAGGGGCACCAGGAAATGCCAGCTCTGTCACGGGAGAGCGGGCCCCTGCCCTGTGCCCAGAGCACAGAGGGTTAAGCCGACAGCCTCCCCGCTTGTTTCTTGTGCTCTTTAACCTGCTCCGTGCTCCTTAGGCCTGACCCCAGCGTCGAGAAGCCCCGCCTGGTGCAGAAGCACAAACAAGCTTCCCCTTTGAAGCCTGTTTAATTTGGAAGCAGGAAAGCAGATTTTGGGATAGAACACCAGTTTTTCACGTTTGATGTTCTGTTTGGTGTACCATACACTCAGCCACCACTACTCCGCAACCTCAGCCATACGTTGTGTGGACACTGCAGCCTCAGGTTGCTGAAGGCATGGGTGTGTGTGTGTGTGTGTGTGTGTGTGTGTGCGCGCGCGTGTTCCCACATGGGCGCTTTCCAGAAAGTGTCTCTGAATACCCAGACAGTGAGTGCCAGGCTCACCATGGAACAGCGTGCTCACGCCGACTCCCCGAGCCATGAATCACTGTGCTGAGGAGAGGCCTCAGACCCCAAACTCTCCCGGAGCCCCCAAGGAGTGCATATTTCCCACTTGACCTCAGGCTCTTGGCTGGAATTTTGGAAAGAATCTTCACCAGAAAATGAAGCCGTGTCCCAGACACATAGGCAGGCAGACACACACACACGTGCAGTATCAGAGGAGGTAGAAGTGCCAAGGGGATGGTTCAGGGGACTAGCAGGGTCCCTAAATGTGAGACCATGACCCCACTTCCCACCCCGTGACCTCCCTGTGCTCTGCCAGGGGCAGGCAGAGGACTGGGCCCCTCTTGGATGGCTGTGCGGGGGCCCAGGCTGATGAGGGAGGGTGCCCCTCTCTCTAGCTGCTGCATACCCCTGCCTCTCCCCAGGGACCCTCTCAATTTGATTCTGTAACTGAGGAATGTGATGGAGGGGCCCGGTTTCTTCTTCTGGATACAGCAGCTCCAGAAAATCCCTGTAAATTCCTCCCAGGAGAAGGGTGGGGCCCAGGGGAAGAGGCAGAAAAAGGAGAGAACACTTGGAACATGGAGGGCACTTCTTGCCCTCCAAGGGCCCCTGGTTTCACGGGAAGACTCCTGTGGGGCCACGTGGCCTCCAGGGTCAGGGGGGAGCTGCCTGGGAAAGCAAGGCCTCAGGTGCAGACAGACAAGACAGACGCAATTGCTGAGTCTGATTCCTTCTGGGACTGTGTCTCCTCAGTGATCAATGAGCTGGACGGCCTGGCCAAGGGGCAGGAGACAGACCACCGGGCCGGGGGCTATGCCCGCGTGGTGCAAGAAAAGGCCCGGAAGTCCATTGAGTTCCTTGAGCGGCGATTCGAGAGTCGGGACTCTTGCCTGCGGGCCCTGACCAGCCGTGGCAATGAACTCGAATCCATCGCCTTCCGCAGCGAGGACATCACTGGCCAGCTGGTGAGACCCAGGGCAAAACAGGAACGCTCGAGTCAACCTTCAGAACAGGGGCCCCAGGAGGGAGGGGCTCAAGGCTGGCCCCTCAGTCTGGACCTCCTGCCCCCAGGGGGCAACCACCATTGAGGCCCAGGAGGGGGTTCCTTGTCCCCTGGGTCACTCTCGGCACGGTGGGACCTGGCCAAGCAGGGCCAGGGCGTGGATGGGCGGGACACCGAGATGTGACCCAGCGGCACTCACCCTGTCTTCCTCCAGGGTAACAACGATGACCTGATCCTCTCCTGCTGCCTCCACTACTGTAAAGACAAGGCGAAGGACTTCATGCCTGCCAACAAAGGTAGCACGCTCCCTCCACCTCGGGACCTTCCCTTCCCTCCCTACCTCGTCCTACCTGCCTCAGCCCTGGGGAAGGGTACCTTCCCTAACTGTGGCCTGGGAAGTGTAAAAATCAGGGATGAGGCCTGAGGCCAGCCCAGTTCCCCCACACACACACCACCCTGTGCTGGAAGTCAGACCCCTCCCCCGACTCCCCCAGCCTCAGGTGGACCCTCAGCCAGCTAAGGACGGGCCTCACCCAGGAAGCTGGGCTTCAGGCAGTGAACTTTGCTGCTCTGCATGCATCCATTTCCTTTCTTGGGTCCTCAGTGAGTTCTCTGACAGTAAGAATGTCTTTATGATTCACTGTAGCTTATTCCGGCCATAGTCTCCTGAGCCCAGCCCTCTGCTGCTCTGAGGACAGTCCTTAGCGGTCCCTAGGGCCCCACCTCCCTCCCTGTCCTTGGCCATGCTCACCCTCTCAATTCATCCGTGAATGTTTACCCTGTATCAGGTGGGGGTGGAAGTACTTCCCCAACTACTAGTGGTCCTTTTCTTCCTGTCTCTCTGGTTCTGTGACATAGCACTTTGGAGGCAGGTGAGACCTTGCAGATGAAGCCCTCAGCCCGGTTTTCCAAACGCTTTTGGTGAGCCGAAGCCCGTCGGGGGGGGCCAGAGACTCTCTTTGGGGTGCTTGAGCACCTCACCCTCATCCCAGAACCATCTCTTGCCTGAGCTGGCCTCTGAGAGTCAGCGAGGCTCAGGTGTTCTGCTCCTGGCTCCCAGGACTCCAGACATTTCTTCTTCTGGAAGGAATTCCTAGGCTGTCCTAGCTCCATGGCATCTGCACAGCTGACAATTCTCACCTCTTGGTCTCTTGTCTGCATGTCTGTGGCCTTCTTGTCCTCTTCTCTGCATTGAGGTTGCCCAGCTCGCCTCTGCTCGCTTTTCCCGCCCTGCTGCCAGGCGGGCCCGGGACTGTCTTCCCTCCAGCCCTCCGCCCGCCCGCTTCAGCTCCGAGCATGCTGCCCACGCCCCTGTACCTGAGGCGGGTAACGCGCCCACAGCTGCTGCTCCTCAGAGGGGTCCTGCTACCTGGTGCGCCTGCACTGTCCCTAAGGGGCGGACCCGGAGCATCCGAGTGGCAGAGAGGAGCCTGGCTGAGCCCAGCGCAGGGGTGGGGCTCTGCTCCCAGGCAGCTTCCTGGAGGGGCACCTTCTGAGGGCGAGGTCGGCAGGACTGCAGAAGGCCTTGTTGGGAAGTACGGTTCAGATACCGCTGTGGCCCCACCCAGCCTCAGAGCTGTTTCTTTCTCGGCAGAGACACATTTTGGCTTTGGCCCTAGTCTCCCCACCCCCCACTTCACCCCCAACAGCCTACAGGAACCCATTGGCATCCTGGGGACCGCCCCTATCAGAATTACATCAGCAACGGCTGGTGTAATCAAACCCCATTTGTCAGTGTGAATTCTTAGCAGATTAACTTGTCAGATTCACAGAGAAACCATCACCAAATGTTTATGTGTAAACGATGTTGAATTTTAAAATCATGTGGATTATGGCGGATGGGGCCTGACAGGATGACAGTCTCTGGTTTCTAACAAAGTGAAGTTACCAGTGTCAAAACAGAGGATGTTTATTGTTCAAAATGTCTCAAAGTATCCACAGAAACCCCTGCAGACCCCTGCCAGCAACGCTGGGCCTCGGTTGGCCGCCACGAGGCCTGGGACTCTCCTGGTCTGAGTCCCAGGGCAGGAGCAGTGGGGCTGTGGACAGACCCGGGCCGCCCACTTCGAGCCCCACAGGGCACTGCCTGTCACCCTACCCTGCCCCGCCCACACCCCCAAGCTTCGTGTCTCAGAGCACCTCCTCGGCCCAGGGCCGCCTTCCTCACCCTCTCAGCCCGCCACGGCCGCTCACCTCCCACCACACCCTCCTTCCGCTGCTCCCCTTCTTTCACCACCATCAACCCCGAGAGCCTCTCCTCCCTCTTCCCCCAGACTCCTCCCACGGCTGACAGCCAGCTCACAGCCTCCCTGCCTGGAGCTGGCAAGCCTGAAACTGCTCAGGTCCGACACGGATATTTGCAGTCCCCCAGCCCCGCCAGGCCCCCGTGGTCAGGAAGCCCTACAGGACATTTCCTGGGCCTCACTGCCTGCCTGCCTGCCTGGGGATGAGGAGTGGACCTGCCACCCGGGGGGCCTTAATGGGGGTGGGGATGTCACTTGTGAGAGTCCTTGGCCCCAGTTTAAATTCTCCCCGATACATTAGTATTAAAAGGTTAAGGAATTAGGGGGAAAGACATCCTGCTTTAAAAAAAAAAGTCATCTAAAAAGAATGAAGGCGCTCTGTTTGTGCTGACATAGAAAGATCTTTAGAATTTCAGTGAAGTAAGTACGGCTAGTATGACTGTAACATTACAGGAAAACTTATATGACAAGTATGTAGACTTGTAAATGTGCATAAAGAAATCTGGAAACATATACAGCTTACCCTGGGACAAGACAGAGACATGAGGAAGATCACGGGGAGGACAATCAACTTTACCTTCCTTCTTCTGTGCTTAAGAGGTTTATGCCATAGACATGGATTACTTTTATTTAATGGTGGGAATCTTTGGGCTCTAGCCTCAGGGCCAATTTGGCTGGCCTCTGCCAGGGGACCCTTGCCCTCCTCTCCTCAGAGTTAGCACCCCTCCTCACGTCCTGGGAGCCCTGGATATGTTTCATATTCCATCTTGCATTTCCTACTTCTGAATACCTCAAGCATCAGTCTGCTGGCCTTGAAGCAGGCAAGATGATGCAGAAGAGAGTCTTAAGAGCCCAGAACCTGCCGTCAGAAGGGACAGGAGGCTTCTTCTCCTGCCTCAGCTCAGAGTCCTGAGAAGAGGGGTCTGCGGAGGCTGGCGAGCTGGGGGGCTCACCGGGCACGAGGTGGCCCAGTAACATGCGGGGGGTGGGGGTGCATAGCAGAAGGCCAGCCCCAGCCCGAAACTGTCCTCCCTCGGCCTGCAGGGGAGGGGCGCCCTCTGCTCACGGTCTGTGAGGGGAAGGCCCTGTGGGAGGGCCAAGAAATGGTTGGCCTTGAGCCCCCAGACCCGCTTTCCCCTCCAGAAGAGGAGAGGCAGCCAGGGCCTCCGAGTCCTGCCCTCAGTGAATCCCCGTGCTCTCTCATGCCCACAGAGGAGCCCATCCGGCTACTGAGGGAGGTGGTGCTATTGACAGATGACCGGAACCTGCGTGTGAAGGCGTTGACCAGGAACGTGCCTGTGCGGGACATCCCGGCCTTCCTCACGTGGGCCCAGGTGGGCTGAGGGGGCGCAGCTCCCCCCTCACGGAAGCGTTCCCGAGAAGGCCGCCAGGCGCCCGGTGTAGCACAGAAGATGCCCACGTGCCTGAGCCACCAATCCACCCAGACAATAAACCATCCTCTTCCGACCCACGCCGTGGCCGTGCTGTGGGGGAGCTGCTCCTCACAGAGCCCCTCCTAAGGGGTGGGCGGAAGTTCTGGGACCCTCCTGGGCTGCCAGGATGGCAGGATGGCTGGCTGCAGTGACGGCAGGTGGACGAGCCAGATGGGCCGCCCCGTGCCCAGCCTTTCTCCCTCCCTCTGTTCAGGTCAAGGGCCGACGGAAGGCCTCTTAGCCTGGAGATGCAGCCACTTTCTCAGCTGGAGGTGGCACAGGGCGGGGTTAGCATTTCCATCAGATGCAGGTGAAACCATGGGTCCTCTCAGTCTTCAGAAGCCCTGACCCGAAAGTGTCCAAGAGGCCTTGGTCATGCTGTGAGGAGAGTGCCCAGGAGGTCTGTCTCCCTGAGGCCTGGATGCCCGCAGCAGCCCCAGGCCCTCCGCTCTTCTCCCCCCGCCCCGCTGCTCTTCTCCCTGCCCTGCTGCCCGGGGCCCCTGTGCTTCGCCACCTGCTCTCCCCTCAGTTGGTCCTGGGTCTGTAGGGAAGGGCTGTCTGCCCTCTCAGACCCGTGCCTCCTGGGTTGCCTTTGCCTGCTCCCTCTCCCCTCAATGGCCTTCGTTTTGCTCTCTTCCTACTTCACAACATTTCTTCCCAAGTCCCCCTCCCTCTCTCCCTCCTGAACCATCCCCCTCCTCCTCCCCGCCTTTCTAGTCCATCCCTCTCACCTTCCTGGCCCCTCAGTCCCTTGCTGTGGAGCTTCTCTGACTCTTCTGTGGTACCGGTGGCAGGAACCTGATGTCGCTTTCCTGCCCCTGACCTCCTTTCCCAGGCCCCTGTGCTCTGAGAAACGCTGAGGCTAGTCTGAGGGTAGGGCAGGCCAGTGCCCACGAGGAGCGCGGCCTGACCTGGGGCGTGCACCCCGTGGGTAGCTCCGCCCTAGAAGGCACAGGGGCCCTCTGGCTGTGCTTGGAGCTCTGTGTTGCTTCTAGCTGGCACCTGTGCTCAGTCTCCTGCCGGAGGCTTCCTGCTGGCACTGTGTTCTCCCAGGCCAGGGTCAGGGCTGGAGGAGGACGTAGGGGAAGACAGGGTTTGGAGGCGAAGCAAGGGGTCCGTCTTAACGGGACCAGTGAGGGAGGCCCCTGACTGACTCCACAGCCTGCCCAGACGGTGGGAGCAAGGCAGTGCCCAGGACTCCGCCAGAAAGACGGGGAGCAGGAGAGCCACAGCCAGTGATTTGAGGGTACAGGGCTCAGAAGACTGGGCTTTGGGGTATAGGGTCCCTGGCCTTTCCTTTGAGATCCCTTCTCCAGGATGAAGGTTAATGACTGGGTGGGTGGGAGACCCCATCCCTCCTTTCTGTTCCATTTGCAGCCCTGGTTTTGTTTCCTGAATAAATTTTTAGTTACAAAACATACCTGAACTGTTGCTGACCTGTCTCTGGGGCCAGGGAGGGAAGGACCAAGCCACTGCACCTGTCTGAGGGTGCTGCTTCTGGCCCCAGCACCCACCCCCGTGCGCCCCACCCAGCTCCTTGTGCAGGGCAAAGAGAGCCGCTGGGTCCAGGGTCCTTGGTTACTGCTTTATTGCTGTTTGGTTCGAGTATAGAAAATGGAAGCGGCTCTGGAAGAGCCTGTGTACAAGGTAGGAAATATACAAACGAGGAGGAGGGAGCTAAAGAGACCACGATCCAGCCCAGCCCAGCCTGGGCTCGGGGTGCGGGGGGGCCGCCCAGGGCGCATGCAATAAATACGGTCCGGGGCCCCAGGGAAGGGAGGGGGGACCACCGCGGGAGTGGGAGACCGGGTAGGCCAGGGCTGTCTCAGCCCTCTGACTCCAGAGGGCGGGAAAGGTTAGCCCTGGGGCTAGTGCCACTTGTGCAAAATGAGGAACTTCACATTATCCGTCCCGGGGCGGGCGGGGGCTGGGGCGGGGGGCCCTCCGGCCGGCTCAGTCCCCTCCCCGCTCCCCAGCTCTGCCCGACGCTCCGACCCCAGCGGGGAGATTCACAGTGAGAATGGGTGTGGTCGCAAGGGCCGGAGGTAGGGCTGGGAGCGCCCCAACAGTGGCACCCCTCCCCCCCCAGAGCAGCACGGAGCCGGGGGGGGGGGGCGGGGGGGGCAACGAACCACAGGAAGAGGCGGAGAAGGGCCGGGGGTCTCCTTTGGTCAAAGCTGATATCAAAAATATAAATCTCCCTTCCCCCAACCCACCCCCGTCCCGGGGTTTCCTCCCCCACCCCCACCCCCGGGCTAAGGCACAAAGCAGTGAGGCCAGGTGAGGCCGCCGCCCCTGCGGCGACGCTGCCGGGGCTGCTACTGTCGTCCGGGCGCGGGGAGGTGAGGGGGGCACCCGCCTGCTGGTGGCCGCCGCCTGGGGGCGCGGGCCGGGGCCACGCGGAGGCCAGAGGCGCACTAGGTGGGAGAGAAACGGTCGATGGTCCGGCCGTCGGGGCCGGCGGCCAGGTGAGCGCCCTGGCTCAGCACCTCGGCCGCCTTGTCGGGGCTGAGGCCCAGCTCCGCGGTGAACTTGGCCAGCGGGTAGAGGCTCTCGAGCGCCACCTTGGGGTCGTGCAGGAAGTGCGTGGTCTGAGCCAGCAGCTCGGCCGCAGCCGCCTTGTCCTGCTGCTTCAGGCTGAGCTGTTCGGCCGTGAGGCGCGCCACGGCAAAGACGCCCTCGGGGAAGTCGAGCTTGCCCTTGCCGTCGGGGCCCGGGACGCCGGGGAGCCCCCCCAGCCCCGCCAGCGCCCCGGCCGCGCCGGCCGCGCCGCCCACAGCGTGCATCTTCATGTGACTGATGAGGTTGCGCTGCTGGGCGAACTTGCCGCCGCACACCTGGCACTCGTAAGGCTTCTCGCCCGAGTGGATGCGCATGTGCTCGGTGAGGCGGTACTGGCGCGTGAAGCGCATGCCGCACGCGTCGCACGCGAAGGGCTTGAGGCCCAGGTGGCTGCGCATGTGGCGCGTCATGGTCCCGCGCTGCGTGAACTTCTTCCCGCAGATGGTGCAGGGGTAGGGCCGCGTCAGCCAGTGCGTCTTCTCGTGCTGCCGCAGCGTGGCCGGGTCCTTGTAGCTCTTGTCGCACGACGCGCAGCGGTACGGCCGCAGCAGCTCGCCCAGGCCCCCCGGGGCCCCAGGCACCTTGTCCCCACCACCTCCAAACGGGGGCCCGAGGCCGGCGGCGCCCGCGGCCACCTCCGCCGCCTCGGCCCGGCCGTACAGCGCCTCCTCCTCCTCCACGTGCGCCTCCACGTGCGCGTTCAGCTGCTCCGAGCTGGGGAAGCCCTTTCCGCATGGGATGCACACGTACAGGTTGTCACCGAAGCTCTCGGGCTCGCCGTAGGCCAGGTGCGGGCACGGGTAGCCCTCGAGGTGGCCGCCGGGCGGGCTGGGGTCCTCGCTGCTGCCCGTCTCCTCGCTGCTGCTCTTGTAGTCGTCGCCGTCGCCGCCCGCGCCAGGCCCGTCCAAGCTGCCCGCATAGCGCGGCGGCGGCGCCAGGCCGAGCGGAGGCCCCCCGGGCGAGACGGACGGGTCCCCGCCGCGCTCCTCGCAGCGTTCGCTGGGGGAGCCGCGCTCGCGGCCCAGCTCGTCGCCGTAGCTGCCCAGGCCTGGCTCGTGCTTCATCCAGCGGTAGAGGAGGCTGGGCCCGTCGGGGCGGCCGGGGGGCTCGGATCCCGGGCTGCCACCACCACCTCGGAATGGATCCGGAGGCGGTCCGGCCTCCTCCAGCTTTTGGAAGGGCAGTGGCGGCAGCGGCGGCAGGGTGAGCGGTGGCTCCTTGTAGGCGGCGGGGCCGGCGCTGGGAGGGCTGTCTGGGCGCGGGGGCAGCTCTCGCTCCCCCGGCTGTCGCTCGGGAGGCGCGGAGCCCGGCGGGCTTTTCTTTGACAGGTCCAGGCCGCAGAGCGGGGAGCAGCGGCGCTCCGGGGCGCAGAGCGCGGCGGCCGGGCCGGGACCCGAGGCGTACAGCTCGGCGCAGTGCGTGTTCACAGCGGCCTCGGGGCCCGACGGCGGCTCGGCGGTGGGCGGCGGCGGAGGCCCGGCGGGGGACGAGTAGCAGGCCTGGATGACGGGCGTGGCGGCCCGCAGGCCCCGGCCCGGCCTCCCGTAGGGTGCGTAGCCGCCGCCGCCGCCGCCGCCGCCCCGCAGGTGGCAGTACTTGCCGTGGCGCTTGAGGCGTTTCTTGCACAGCGCCACGAGGTCGGGGATCTGCAGGTAGCTGGCGGCGGCCAGCACGGCGCCCAGGCTCGGCTCGGCCCCCGGGGCCACGGCGGCCGCCGCCGCAGCCTCCGCGCCATCCGCCAGGCGGCCGGTGTAGATGAAGTCCAGCACCAGGCGGAACACGGCCGGGCTCACCATGTCATGGTCCAGGTTGAGCAGGTTGTCGTGCACCACCAGGGACTTGAGGTAGGCGCTGCTGGCCGCCAGCACGTTTTTGTGCGCGCGGAAGAGGGCGTTCTGCACCACGATGATCACGTCGCACAAGAAGCCCTTGGTGCGCTGGTTGTTGAGCTGCAGCAGCAGCTGCCTGGAGTGGCCGGGCGCCTCCATCGTGTCCAGCATCGTCTGCCCAGCACACTCTCCTGCGGGGACACACACCGGCTGGGTCAGAGCCGCACCGAGCCCTCGCTGCCTGCACCCAGCCCGGCGCTTCTCCCCGGCACTTCCCCTTCCCCTCAGCTGGGCAGGGGCAGGGGCATGGAGCACGGCGGCCTGGGCACGGGCGGAGAATCCGCGGCCTCCAAGAGTGGGCGCCTGGGCCGGCCGGCCTGGACCAGAAGAAGGAGCCGAGACCGGCCGGCGGAGAGGAGGCCAGGCTGGCCGGCACCCCCAGGCCCGGATGCAGCCGGGCACTCTGCCTGGGTTCTGGGGGCTTCCGAGGAGAAAACTGTTCCGGCGAAGCGACCCTTGTGGAAACAGTTACCCGATTTGAGGAAAATGTCCGCTTCAGGAAAAGTCATTCAGGGCTGAGAAGTTTGCCCAAGTGGGATACAAGGGAGCCGAGTGAAAAAGCGCCTCCCGCCTCCAGAGAAGTGACCCCAGTTGGGGGAAGAGGTCCGGAGGAGGGCAATGCTGTGCCCGCCGTGGCGCCGCCCTGGCCGGGGGCTGTCAGACCCTCGGTTGGGGCCCCGGGCGGCGGCCGTGGCGCGGGAAGCGGAGGCAGCGGCTGCCGTGGCGGGCAGAGCACGAAGGCCGGCCCGGCGCGGGGAGGGCGTTATATCGGGGCAGGAGGCTGAGGCAGGAAGCAGGTGGGGGGGAGGGGGGAGCCACGCAGCTCCCAGGGGAGGGAGGGGGCAGCGCCCCGGGCGGGCACGGCGCACAGCCGGCTGCGGCCCTGACCCTGGCCTGCGCCCCACCCGCGTCCCGGCCCCGGCCTCGGCCTCCGCTCTGCATTCGCGGGCCCGGCGCCTCCCTCCCCGGCTCCCCTCGGCCCCTTCTCCACGGGAACTCCGCCGCCCCAAACTTGGGGAAAAGTTTCCCAACTTCAGACAGGCCGGGAGGAGCGCGCCAGCCCCAGTCTCTCGGCTCCCAGCTTTTCCTCTCGGCCCCCAATTTCGGCTGCCAAGCGGCCGCCGGGCCTGAACCGAGCCCTGAGCTCCCCGGCCGTCCGCTCGCCCGCCCGACCCCATTCGCTGCCTGGTCCCCAGGGCCTCGCGCGCGGTCCGTTACCTGCGGCCGCAGCCCTGCCGGGCTTCCCTCCCCGTGGCGGTGGCAGCTCCTAGTCGGCGCCCCACCCGCCCCGCTGCCAGGCGCTGCGCTGTGCCAGGGCAGCGCCCCTGCCAGCCCCGCCCGCCAGCTCCCCTTCCCTTCCCCTCGCCTCTCCAGCCCATGTGCGGGCAGAGCCGGCCCCGGGCCGCTGACCCCGCCGTGAACCCGGCGCAGAGCAGCGGCCCGGCGGTCCTGAGTCCTCTAGGGGTGACAGCCGGAGCCCTGAACGCCAGCCGCGTTGGGGGCGCCCGCGCCGGAGGATGCGCCCCAGGCGGCCAGCGCGCGAGGACCGGGCTGTTCGGGTCCCCTGTCCCTCCCCGGTCCCCAGCCCTAGGACCCACCTGGGGGGCATGTCGGAAGCCCCGGGCCCGGCTGCCGGCGGATCCAGGGGGGGACGTGGCTGCGCTGCGCTGCCCTCCGCCCGCCGGGCCCCCGGTCGGTCTGTCCTGCTGGTCCGTCCTCCCCGCGTCCTGGTCGCGTCTCAGCCCCGCCGCGCTTTCCGCACACTCTTATCTGGAGCGGCCCGGGCCGGCGGGCGCTGCTGCAGCTATGGCGCCACCTCGCGGCCGTGCGGTACTTTGCGCGGCACAGCCACGGCCTCCTTCCTGCGCACCTGGGATGGAGGCTCACAGATGCCGAACTGGACTCAGGAGGGGGGCCTGTTCTCAGATTCAGCCTCCCAGATGTGCCCACCTGGAGGCCCCAGCCCCGGACCTTCGAGCCCCACAAAAACCGGGGTTTTGAGCTGAATGTTCCTGTGTACATATTTCTAAATTCTGACATTGCCCCAATTCAGATAAGTCCGGCCTTCAAGGGAGGAGGCTTTCGAAATCCTAAGGAAGAAGACAGACAAGTTCTTAAGGGGCTGTCATTAGATATCCCTGGATGGTACTGTCCATTTGTACACCGCCCCTCCCCCCAGTACACCCAACCTCACTCAGCCACGTGGGATAGGTATGCACAGAATAGACCCGTTTGCACCCAGACCCCCTCCAGGCATTTACACCCGTGAGCGCTCATGTTGGCAGACACACATCTGTCCCCTTCCGGAGTCCAAGACCCGGCTTTCTGTCATACTCAGGGTACTGCCATATAGAGCCCTCCATGACCTGGGCAGAGGTGGTACCAAAACCCCACCCTGAACTTGCAGGCCTCTACAGGGCCCCCAGGAAAGGTGACTGGAAATGGCTGGACAGCGCCTCTTGGGGGTCCCACAGAAGCGACCCAAGCCCCCAGATTTCCCGTGTGAGCCGTGTTGAGGGACGACCAGCTTGAACGACCTCGTCGAGAGAAAAGTCACAGGAGGGTCTGGAACCCGGGATCCCCCGCAAGGTCCTGGACCCCACGTGAAGGTCCAATTCTTGCAGGTGACGCCCCCTCTAGGAGGGAGGGGACGCGGCGCTGGAGCGCGGGCGCTTGCACAGCTAACTCCGGAAGTGTCCCCGCGCCGCCCCAGCACATCAGGCCGGCAGCCAGCGCCTGTGAGGCTGAGTGGGCCTCCGCAGCCCACGCTCCGCCTCTTCCCCGCACCTCCTGACCCCCGCCCACACGTGGAGGGTAGGAGTGGGTCCCCAAGAACGCCTGCAGCTTCTGATTGGCTGCGCCTCGCTCAGCCGCCGAGCGCGAGAGGCTGGGGCGCAGAGTTACCATAGTAACCGATGAGGTTCGCCCAGATCGCGTCTCTCCGAGGCCTTGGAGAGCTTAGCAACCGCGCAGGGCCGCTGGGCCGTGGGGGCCGCGTTCACCAACCTCCCTCCGCCCCGCGCCATCCTCCGCCCCCACGCCCCCGCCAGAGGTAGTGGCTGAGTCATTCATTGAGGGGCGGCCGGCGCGGCCACCCGCGGTCCCAATCAGACACCAAGGTCTCGGGCGCCCCCCAGAGGCTCCCTTTGCTCAGCTAGGAGGCGGCTCCTGGTCTCCACAGGTTCTTCCGACTTCCATTGCGTCCAGAGTTTTTACCCTGTTTCCCCTCTGTGTTCTGGGTACATCTGATCACAGTCCTCTTTTCCGTCTCCCTAACCTAGCCTTAGGGTGCTCACTAGGGAAATAGTGAGGTTCCCAGAATGAAAATTGTGGGCTCCGGAGCTGAGAGCCTCTGGGGGAGGTGGACATCCATCGACATCTTGGCGGAGAGATGTGCTGCCACACTGAGGTGGGAAAGTGTATAGAATGCGGGGCAGGGAGGCAGGAAGGCTCCTGTGAAGTGCTCTTAGATCTGGGCTTTGATGGATGAATAGGAGTTCTCCCCCAGACAGGAAGACATTCCTGGGGAAGAGAACTAGTGGAGGCCAAAAACTGAGAACTCTAGGTAAAGGGTATCCAGGACCTCTTTGACCCCATTTCTGCTGTAATCTTTCCTCCCCTTGATGAGGTCAGATCCTAGCCCCACAAGGATCCAATCATCCCGGTCTCCGTGCAGTGGCGTCTGTCCACTGTAGACCCACCCCAGGGTCCCCTGTGCCACTGTTTTTTTCTTCAACAATCCTCCCAGATTCCCGTTCCCCCAGTCCCTACCCTCACACTGTCCTTACATCTGTATTGAAGGGTCTGACATACCTGCCCCCAACCTAGCTGCCTTTAATCTTTGACCTCTCCCTCCCTCCCCAGTTCCACCTGTCCTGGCCTGGCATTGCCCTCCCTCCACCCTAACCCAGCTTCTCTCTCTGAACACACTCCCCTCCCTCATTTAGAACTTTCCTCAATTGATTGAGCTAGACTCCGCCAGGACCATTCATTTCCCTACTCCTGTCCAGGAGAACTTCGCCTAATGTAGCATGGACTCTTCTTACCAATTCTGACCTACAGGAACTCTTACTCCTCCAGGAAGGGGTCTCAGCCCAGCTACCCTCCCCCCAGACTCTTCTCTGCTGAGCTGCCAAAGTTCCTCCTTCCACAGATGGGTCCTAAATGAGGTTTGCTGGGAGTCAGGCTCTGAAACTGTGGTCTGGTCTTCCTCCCTTCCACTTACTGAGGCTTCCTTTCTCTCCCTTCTCCTACCACCTTTCCACCACCTCCCCCATAGAGCACCCTCTTGCTCATTTCTGGGGAGTCCAAGCCACCCTCCTCAACTTTTCTCCCTTCCCTCGGGTCTCTAGCTCCTGGATCCCCATTGAGCCTTTTCTTCCATGCCCAGCCTCCTCCTACAACCCCCTGGACTCCCCTCTCCTTCCCTCATGTCCCTGACACGACCGTTTTAGGTGATGTCACAGGCCCCTCCAGGGGTCCAGCTTTTTGTCCTCACCCCCCTCCCCCCCGCCCCCGCCCAAGGGTGATGACACCGCAATAGCCTTGCGGGGTATAACGCCGCCACCGCAGGGCATCCAGTGATGTCACAGAGCCGTCGGGTCCAGGAACTGAGGAGTGGGAGTGGGGGCTACTGGGTGAGGACCCTGGAAGGCCGGGGGGTGGGCTGGGGTTGAGCCCCCAGATGTCTCAGAGTGAATACATTTATAATGGGCCTGGCCACACTCCCTGCACTGTCCTCTCGCTGGCCCCCAGCCTGCAGTTCCGGAAAATTAACCCCTTGTAGACCCGTACGGGGGGCGCGAGCTCCCCTCCCCGTTCCTGCTTCCGTGCGCCCTCCTCCCCTTCCCAGCTCCCCATCGCCTCAGTCCCCACCACCCCACCCCACCCCCCGCCTCGCCACTATAAATAGCCCCTCTTCCCGTTTCCTAAATTCCCTGCTGACGTCGGCAACGCGTCAGTGTGTAGGAGCCGCGGCCGCATGAATGAGCCGCCGCACGAGTACTACGCGCGCCTATAAAAGCCGCCGCGCCAGCCCGGCTGCGGGAGGCGAGCGGGCGCGGGCGCAACACAGCCGACAGGTAAGCGGGACCGACCGACCAATGGGCGACAGATGGACGATGCACGGACATGGACTGGAAGGTAAGGAGGAGACCGACAGGCGGCAGGTTAGAGGGGCCCAAAGGGGTGGGGTTGGGGACAGGGTGGAGGGGACGAGGGTCCCCTCGCAACTGCTAGAGCTGGAGCCAGAGGCGTACGCAGAACCCCGAGCAGCACCTGCCTGCGCCCGGATGGAGACGCAACCACTTCGGAGGAGCATCGATTAGAGGACCGACCTGAGCCCCTGCGGCTTTTCCTGGGGCTCTTGCGCCATCCTCCCAAGAAAGTGGGACGAATGTGCTGGCGCCCCAGGAGACGCGCCCCTTCCTCTCCTCCCCGCAGAGCGGTGACTCAGCCTCGCTGCCCCCGGTCTGCTGAGCTGGGGCGCCGGCGAGAGACAGACGCCCCCCTACCAGCCCCCCTACCGCAGCTTTCTGGGGATCCCTCCCCTCATTCAACCGGGGCGCCCCCTCCCCGTCCCGTCGAGCTGGTCCCTCAGCGCCCCCAACTTCCCGCCTCTGCATGAGGAGCTGTCCTCTCAGGACCAGGCGGGGGCGGGGCCTCGGCCTGACTGCCCCGCCCCGCCCCCATCACCCGCCCCTCCCCCTTCCCGCAGCCGGAAGTGCCTCTCCGCAGGGACATCTTTGACGTCACAGGGTTTTGACGTCAAGGGCCGCGTGCCTGTCCGCTAGCGCCGGGGCCGAGAAGGGTTGGAGACGCGGGGCAGGAAGAGCAGCAGCGCCCCCAGCTGGGGGCGACGGAGCCACCCTGCCCGGGCAGCGCGCCGGCACCTTGGCTCTAGACTGCTTACTGCCCGGGCCGCCCTCAGTAACAGTCTCCAGTCACGGCCACCGACGCCTGGCCCCGCCCCAGGACCGCGGACCCGGCCACCCGCCGCGCCCCCGGCCCCTCGGTCCCCGAAGATCCCTCAGCCCCGCGCTCGCTACCCGCGCCGCCGCTGTCCGCGGTGCTGATCCAGCGCGGGCACCGCCATTGGACCGTCCCGTCCCCAGTCCCCAGGGGCTACTGAGGGGCTGCCGGCCCACACGCACTTCGCAGAGCCCCAAGATCCCAGAGCCCCGTCCCGGCAGCGAGCGCCATCCCCCGCCCGCACCGCCGCCGTCCCCCCCCACCGTCCCCCCACCCCGCGGTCCTGACGTCAGCCCAACCGGAGCTGCCGTGGTGCCGTCAGCAGCGCGCGCCCTGCCCCCGCGTCTCCAGGGCAACCGTGGCTTTCGATTGTTACTGTGGGAACCGGAGGTAACAGTCTACAGCCATGGTCGCCCCGCAGCACGCCCACGCGCCGCGCCACGCAGCGCACCGCCCGGCGGGATGGGGGAGACTCGGAACAGGAGGAAGCGGAGGCGGCGAGTCGAGAGCCCATGTGTCTGCGGGGGTGGCGGGAGGTGCCGCACAGGGAGGCGGGCTACTCCGGAGCCGGGCATCCAACGAGGCAGAGAAGGAAGCGGAGTATGGTCTGCGGAGTTTGTCTGACTGTCCCCCTCAGTGACCATCCTGTCCTCCTAGCCGAGGTACTGCAGCCAAGGGATCGTGAGAGAACGGGGAGTTCTGGGATTTGGGTTCTTTTTACCTCCTTGGAGGGAGGGAGGGAAGTTGCAGGCACCTGGAAAAATGTTCGCATCCTGGGAACCGAAGGGGGTTGATGGAAAGGTTTTCTAAATGCGCCACGACCTCATTCTTCCAGGAACCCCTAGCTGAGTAGGCAGAGGGCAAAGGGTAAACCTTGAACCCACTGGCTGATGGAGTCACAGCCTTCCCTCCCTCCTCTTCCCTCTCTTTCCCTCCGAATCTTGAAGGATAAGAAGGGTCCCCGACCCTCAGGAAGCGTAAAGCTTGTAAAGTTAACCCGTCTCTAAACGGTTGTGTGAACATACCTGCATCCTCACCTCACTCTATCTCTAGGTGCTGGATTCCAATTTTAGACTGTCTCAAATTAGCCATAAAGAGTAAATACCAGAGGAGCTGAAGTCCTCTTGGACTACTGAAGTGTAAGCAATGACCTCTTCAAAAACATTCTGCCTGTCACTTGCCGCCACCACCATCACCCACTTCAGGGCTGACTGTTGGATACTGGGTGCAGGACCACCGAGGGACAGTGTTGGGAATGATTAATGCAACCCAGTCCTGCCACCCATTAATACAATTTTTCTTGACCTCTCCATTTCCCCTTTTCTAAACTGTTTCTAACACAGTTGGTGATGGTTTCACAGCTAATCAACACCCACACTATCTTTCTTCCACCCAAGGACACTGAGGGCTTAGATGAAAATGCACCTGATTCTGGCATCCCGTGCACATCGGTGGGCAGACTGTGTGCACCTGGCAAGAGTGCACAGGGAGGCAGGAGGTCCCACCGGGCATCACCAACTGGCTGTTAAGGGGCCATGTTATTTCTGAGCCTTCTGTAAAACGAGATAGTAATCCCTCCTTTTTTGGCAGGCCTGTTGTGAGGACCAAATAAGATCATGCAAGTAAAAACCTTTGAAAACAGCAGAATGCTATTTTGATCTTAAGTATTCTCTTAGACTACTATGTCCTTGGAAGGGGGTGGTGGTGCTGGGGAGACCCCAGCTCTGGGCACTGAGAATGAACAGGGGAGTGAAGGGTACACATTTCTCTGGGCAGAAGCTCTAGGACTGAGGCTGTTGAGGGTTCTCTGCTTAGAGACTCTCTCCCAAGAACTTTAGGAACTAAGGTGGAGTGAGAGGTAGAAAAGATAAATGGCAGGGATGTTTTGGAAAGAAGAGATGAAGTCTTTTGCAGTTTGAACCCATCTGCAAGTGGTTGGGGTGGGGGGTGGAAACCAGAGGACTGACTGTACGGTTAGGAGTTCAGTATCTTGAAAATCATTCAGGGCAGCACACCCCCAACCTATTTTATGGATTAGGAAGGTGAGGGCCTTGCAGGACACGCTGTCCAGTAGTGAGTGGTGGCCTCTGCTCATTTTCTGTGAAGCAGCAGAGAAGAAAATGACTAGTCAAGGTCAAGAACTGCAGTTCTTGGATCTGAATCCAACTCTGGGGAGGTTAGCCTCTCAGCGCCTCATCTCAGTTGTAAAACTAGGTTAGCATCTACCTTATGAAGCTGTGAGATTAAACTAGGTAACTAAAGCTTCTGCTTAACACAAGGCCTTGCATAGTTAGCACTCAATAGATGATATACCTCTTCTTGTCTTCTGGAGCTCATTATCCCTAGTTGAAAATGTTAGATCAATGTTTCTTAGCCAGAGAGCTTGTTTTCCTCTTCCTAGTGGAGTGCCTGAGAATCATTTTTTTTTTTTTTCAAATTACACATATTTACCAGAGACTTACACTCTACTAAGACAGTGGTTTTCCAGCATTTCATTGCATGACAGGGACCAGGATGGTTTGTCAAAATGCAGATTCCTGGGTCCTAGTGATTAGCTCAGTAAGTGTGGAGTTGGTCCCAGGAACCCAAGGTTTAACATGATCCTGATGCAAATGGTCCATGGAATTGGTGTGGAGGGAAATAACACCCTAAGATTCCCCATTGTTCCTGGAGGGCACTATGGGGGATGACATATCACACTTGTTGGGAACAGGTAGACCATATCATCAGTTTCCTTCTGTGCTGTGATTAGTTGTCTCACTCTTTGCAACCCCATGGACTGTAGCCCACCAAGCTCCTCTGCCTGTGGGGATTCTCCAGGCAAGAATACTCAAGTGGGTTGCCATGCCCTCCTCCAGGGGATCTTCCGGACCCAGGGAAGCCCAGCAGACATTTTTGATCCTCAGGGGAATTTCCACCTTCTCACTTCTGCTTCACCAGATCCTGCTCTGGTCTTCAACCTCACCCTTCCAACTTTAAACACTGCCTTAATATTCACTCCCCAAATGTCTTTCCCTCTCTCCTTTACTCCTCCCAGTAATTCCAAGTAGCAGCAACTGTGGTATGCAAGACATTTTCACCTCGAGGCCTTGCTAAAGAGGGAAGACTGTGATTGCCAGGAGGGCTTGTGAGTCAACTGCAGACTTATTCATTGCTTTTCATTCCGAACTGCTTACTTCCAAAGAAAGGAATCTGAATTTTTGTGTGACATTCGTAAAATTTTAACTATCACAAACCCATTTTTTTCCCTAAAATTCTATGGGCCAAATCCCACAGGTCTGTAGGAGTAATTCAGAGCATTTCAGTCTCTTCCTTTGCCAAGTAAGGGGTCCCTTTATAAAACACCAAGAGCAAGGCAGTAGCAGACTGTAGCAAAGAACTTTCTACCCCCGCCCCCAGGCCCTTTCGGCCTAGGCATTTAACTCTAGCTTTATTTTTAATATTGCATGGTGCCTGCTAAGTGGCTTCAGTCGTGTCCGACTCTGTACAACCTTATGGACTGTAGCCCACCAGGCTCCTCTGTCCATAGGATTCTCCAAGTAAGGATACTGGAGTGGGTTGCCATGCTCTCCTCCAGGGGAATCTTCCTGAAACAGGGATCGAGCCAGCGTCTTATACCATCTCCTGCATTGGCAGGCAGTTTCTTTACGACTAGTGCACCTGGGGAGCCCCTGTAAGTCGCAGAAAGCTGCTATCCATAGTGAAGAACTCAGGATTTCAGGTGATTTAAGGCTCTTAGTCTGGCTGCCTCAGGATGGGCTAGGGCATTGGTGCTGAAGTTCCCTAACCCCAGTTCCTGCTCAATTACTAAACTACTTGGGGCAGCCATGCTTGTGGACCAGATACAGCCTGTTGCGATCTTCCAGAAAAGGAACAAACTGATGAATCTGCAGAGGCAGGGCAGCCTGGGGAAGAAGGTACTGGAAGTGGAGGGAATGGTTAAAGCAAGCAGTCTTTAGAGTACCTAAGAATAACAGCATTTTCAAACCAAATGGGCTGCTTAGGCCTTGGCTTTGACCACTACAGAGTAGCATCCATCTCCAGCTCTGCAAACAAGGTTAAGTTTGGAAAAAGGTTACCTCTGTGCTGTCTTTGTTTCTATCTAGGTCTAGTACCACCCCATCCTTCACACTCATAGTTCAGAGAAGCTGATAGCTATGGTGGAGAAAACAGAGAATACATGAAGCCTGGTTTTGACAGGCCAACACACAACTCTTAGGGATCAGGATCGAAGGAGCTAAAACTCAGTATGGCCCAGGCAGAGCTTTGCCAACTGGTCTCTTCCCTAAACTTCTCAGATGTAAATTCTTCCCTCCTTCAAGGAGGCGTCCTTTCCTTCATCTTGGGACTTAAGACTTCCGCCAAAAATGTGTATGTGCACATATGCGTGAGCTTGTCCTAGGGGTTCACAACTGCAAACACCTCCCGGCTTGGTGCTGCCCTGGAGGCTGTGCTGATGCCTAGCCTAGGAATCCATGTTTTAAAAAAACATAAAACGGGTTTTCCTGTGTATCTTTTCCAGGAAAAAGATGCTCAAAATCCAAATCACTTTATTGTGTGGCAGTCAGTGCTGCCAGTCTCTGCTTTTCCTGCCACCCCCCACTCATTCAGGATGCCAAGGTCAAAGTCCATTGAGGCCTCCTAATCCTCCCCCCCCCCCTTTTTCTCTTTGAGTGCAGAGCTGGGCTTATATAATTTGAGTCTTAAGTACTGATATTTGTCTCTTAATTGGAGATGGTGAGGTGCCCTAATAGCAGGGGAGATTTTTACGTAGAAAAAAGGCAGGGATTACAGAGGCTGCATCAAGGTCATGGGGGGGTGGAACAGGAAGGGGATGCAGAGGCAAAGGCCTTTGTAGAGCTTTCAGTTTGCAAACTGGTCCAAGAACTTGAGGTAGGCCTGACGCTGGGGTGCTGCTGCTGGAATGAAGTGGCCACCAGAGTGGGTAAGGGTGATGGCTCCATTGAATCGGCTACACAGCTGCACACTCTCCTGAGAGGGGATGACGCCGTCAGTGTCCCCAAAAACATGGAGGGAAGGCAGTGACAAGGGGCCCTGCATGATGGGTTCCATGAGGCCAAGGCCCCGCGGGCAGAAACCAGATACGAGGATGACAAACCGGGGCAAAGGGAAGCGGGGATCGCCGGCTTGGCCAAGGGCACACACAAGAGCTGCTAGTGCGGCCCCCTGGCTGAAACCAAGGATCCCATCGAAAGGCCCCAGGTTGCTCAGTGCTTGTGCCACCGTTCCCAGGGCTTCCTCCAGACCTCTGCACGCCGTGGGGTCTTCCAGGGCCAAGAAAACGTCTGCCTCCTGTTCGGAAAACCACCAGCCTCGAGGCTGCTCCTCCGGGGGGCAGGGTCCTACAGCGATTAAGGGAAGAGTACAGAGTTAAGGCAAGGGGAAATCCAGGGGGAAAGAAATAAAGGGAGCGAGGGAGTGTTTGGGAATGAGGGAAACAGAGGTGGCTGAGGCAGAGTAGAAAGTCTGGGGAAAATGAGGCGGGGAACAGACTGACCTGGAGAAGAGATGGGTAGAAGTCTGGGAGGACCAGGCAGGAGTGTGAGCAAGGGGCTAGGTTGGCAGAGATGACATGTATGGGCAGAATGAAGTGGGAGGGTGGCAGGAATGTGGGGAGGAACAAGGGTGCCTGTGTGCAGGCAGGTGTTACGCGGACGAGGCAATTCAGAAGACTCGGCGCATTTCCGGGCAGGGCTCCTCTCACCGGAGTCTGGCTTGGCGCCCTCCGACCCAGCTGCGTCCACGACCGGGTGCGGGCCGCTGAGGCACACGAGCTCTGCGCGGCCCCGCAGCGCCTTCCGCAGCGCCCCGGTCTTCTCACGGAAGCCCCGCTCGCTCTGCCGAAAACCCGCCAGACACAAAATCCGCAGAAGCGGCTGCGCAGCCATCATGCATGGCGCGTGCGCGCCAGAGGAACAGGAAGCAGCCTTTCCTCGGGCGGAAGTTGAACACGAGGGGCGGGACCCAATACAGCCACCACCCTGGAGGCGGGCCTCAGAGCAAGCGGACGTTGCCATGACAACGGGAAGAGGGTGAAGCAGGTCCAGAGGTAGGCCTGATACCTGGGAACCAGGAGCGTCTCAGGGAGCGATCGGCGACACCTCCTCGTCTCTGCAGCTGCAAAGCTCGCAAGCCGCGGCTGGAGAGGGGCGCGCGGGCCACCCCTGAACCTGGAGTGGCAGACTTAGGTCATGGTCCTGCTTCTGCGACGTTCCCCACCCCGCTGTCGTGCATTTCCCTTAGCGGCCGCAGGGCGGCGGCCTCGGCTCGCACCGCCTGGGAGGCCGCGCCCAGGCCCCTCGGTATTCCTTGGTGTCCCTTCCTACCTTCCCCAGGGCCGGCCGGCCTGGGACCTGGAGCAGCCGATCCCGCCCGTGGTTCACCGTCCACGGCCCCAAGGAGCTGCTGGCGTAGAAGTCCATAGGGTAGGGCTGCTGCCAGGAAATGTCCCTCAAGGCCACTGCCGCCTGGGGGAGAAAATCCGGACAGTAACATTTGCCAACATTTTTCTACGCAGGATTATTTAATTCAGTCCTCACGATGACCTACGAAGGTCCTATTATACCCATAGCATAGAAAAGAAATGTGAGGTTCAGAGAGCGGAAGAGACTTGCACAAGGCCACACAGCTAGGAAGTGCCTCCGATGTAACTTAAGTGCAGCTCCACTGAGGACCCCTTCCAGGACAGAACTAAGGGTAAAGCCCATTTTCCCCCAGGGATTTTCAGAACCTAGTGTTACCTCATAGGGCGTGAGCAGCGGCTTGTGGAAGGCTGTACCCCAGTCAATGGACAGGCGTGGACATGCCACCTGCACCCACCTATAAGAAGGGAAATCAGGTCAGATCCAAAGGCGGGGGAAGGGGAGGGGCTCTCTGTTCCTGGCAGCATGCTGAAGAACATGACTGTGTCCCCAACACACTCAACAGAGCTTACTATTAATTCGAAAGTAAAGACTGTCACCAACTGCTGTTTAGAATAGCACTATGGTATTGTTTTCTTCTGTTTCCTCCACTGTGAGCTTTTTTTCGGTTTTTATTGAATTTGTTACAATATTGCATATCATATGTGGGATCTTAGCTCCCCAACTAGGGAATTGAAACCTGCAGCCCCCCACACTGGAAGGTGAAGTCTCAACCACTGGACCACCAGAACGTCCCTGACTATGAACTTTCTGAAGAGAGGGCTTGGGCAGCATGTTCGCGATCAGACCCTAGGATAAAATTTACTTTCTGGTCCAATGCAGGTGCCAACCACCCCTCAAACTCATCTCATGCAGAACGACTATGAAATAGCTGTTGCCTGTGAGCCCCCAAGCCAGACAAAGTTGGGTTGACCCATAGCCAAAGGTAGCCCCCACGAAATGAGTGCTCTCTAAACATTAAAATTTCATGGTCATGGAAGCACTGACTCCAACCTGTAATAGGAGCTGGGCAGAACCCAGATTCTAAGCTTCCTTAGCCAGTCATCTCTAGATAGATTAAGGTGGGGAAACGTACACATCCACCTCAGGAAGGAGGCTGAGCTTGCTGGGGAAGATCTCGGAGAGCAGCAGCCTCACGAAGGGAAGTCCCAAGGCTTGGAGCCGAGATTCCAGGTGCTGTTGGGAGAAGGAGGCAGAGCTGGGGTGATCAAGTGGCCAAAGTAAATCCCTTGGCCTCCTGATTTTCTCAGCCGGGTTCCCAGCTAGTCCCCTTTCCCAGAGCCCACTGACCTCCAGAATCTTGGGACTGCCTTGGCGGCCCAAAGTGCCCAGGATGAGACCCCAGGATTTAGCTGAGCGGGCAGTGGCTATGGCCTCCTGGCGGTTGGCCTGCATGCGCTGGTGGTCATAGTGCTCTCTGGACAGGACCTTGCTGTAAGGGTCGTATCTGGAAAAGAAGCTGTCAGGGTCACTGGGACAGCCACTCACAGGACTTGTGCCATATACACAGCTCCCTCATGCAGCCCCTTGGTCTTCGGAACCCTCAGGCTCCATGCAGGCACTTAGGAACAGAGGCAAGAGCAGAGACTGCTACTGGAAGATTGGTTCCACGGCTGGAGCAGGCACGAGAGAGGGTTCTAGGATCTGGGTGTGGATCCAATGGATGGGGAGGTGCTGTGTAGCAGCAACCCTACATCTGGTACCTAGATTCAGAACCTCAGATCCTCAGGGCTGGGGGCTTTTAAGTGGCCCCGGGGTGAGGAGGTTTGGGCCTGACTGAGGGTCTCAGGGGCAGGGGACTCCATCCCCTTCCCAGCTGGTTAGCCCAGTCCGGCCGATACCGGTAAGCGGAGATATTGGGGTTGGCGATCATGACAGACTCCAGGTGGAAGCGGCCATCTCCAAGATATCTGCAGTGGGGAGAAAGGGGGCCATGAGGGTGGGATGGGGCACCAGATGCAGGCAGCAGCCTGGAGGTCCAGAGGACTGAGTTCTTGGCTGGCTACACTGCAGTGTATGTGAACTGGGACAAGTCATCCTTTAAAACCCCTCCTCCCACATGCAAGGCCCTGGATGTCTCACATGTAAAATAGGAGTTTGAACTGGAGGACCATTAAGGCCCCTCTAGTTATGTAATGCAGAATCTAAGAACTGCCCCTATCCCCACCTGAACCTTCTAGGGAAAGATGAAGGAGCCAGCCAGGGTCATGGGAAGGCTCTAGAGAGCCTAACGTGGAGGTGGGAGGACAGATTGTCCCTCACCTAGCTCAGTACGGATGTGGGAAGTGGTGTTCAGGGTGTCATCTGGGCCATAAATGAGCTTTCAGGGTGTATATATAGTTTGAATACTCTTTGCTCAAACTAGCTCTTGGGTCCAGTTACTGAACTGTAATAAGAGCCACTGTTTACTGGGCTTATACCTTCCATGTACCAGGCCTGGGCCAAACACCTGACATGTATGACTTTACTCAGTCCTAACAGGTAATCCTCCAAGCTACCCATTTCACAAAATCCCCATTTCACGAAAGATACTAGTGAGGTTCAAGGATGTAGAGAAATCTGAATCCCCATTTCACAAAAGATACAAATGAGGTTCAGAGATGTTAAGAAACTTGCCCAAAGTCACACAGCTCTCTTAAGCAGTATACCTGGGACTTGATGCTAGGCTTAAACACCAGGCTGTATCAAGCAGGGCTAGGAGATGCTGTCCTTAACTGCACCTTCCCAGATCATGGAGAGGCCACAGCATGGAAGACAGTCCACGTGGCAGCTCCTCTCTTGGGAGACCACACCGAATTGTGATGAATGGCCAACAAACACTTGGGGTGTTCCTCCCTCCAACAGACACCCGAAGCCCCCCGGGGGCAGGCATGTATGAGCTCAGAGTTATGTATGCCCAGGCAAGAGGGAATGCCCATCAGGGAGCAGGGCTGCCAGGGAAAGGGAAGGCCCTGATGTGGGCCTCTCTGGGGGCACGGATGTCCTGTGTGGGTGCAGCAAAGCTTGTGGGAGCAGCATCAGCAGCCCCGGAAGTGGGACTGAGTCAGGGGAATGCCCCCCCCTTCCCTGCCATTAGCTGAGAATGGGGCTCCCCTCCCCAGTCTTAGCGGGGGGAGCTGTCGGCTCCGAGGCTGCCTGCATTCACACAACATTAAGCATTTCCATTACCTAAAATAATTAGGCGGCAGGAGACACGCTGCTCCTGCTTGTTAGCTGTCCAGATGCTAAATTAATGGGGCTGCATCCTGGGCGTGCCCATCCATCTTCTCCAATTATATTCCCACCATTTTGAGCCCCACCCTTGTCCCCCCCCATCCCCACTCCGCCCCCCGGCCCCGCATCAGGCCCCCATTCCTGCCCCACCCTGGGGATAGTCTTCTGGATGTTGGCCAGAGCACTGGAGAGGGAGTCAGGGAACCTAAAACTCTCTTTCGTCCCCATCTTGCAGGGTGACCTTGAGCGAATGGCTAAGGAGTCTGAGACTCAGTTTCCTTTCCTGGACGATGAACTTCAGCGTTCAGAGGAACCTAGGGAACTTTTTCTATGTCTCTATGACTGGCCCCCCATTTTCCACTTACACCACAGCCTCCACTTCCTTGGGTAGGCAGGGGGACGTGCAGCCCAGAATCTCCCCAGGGGACAGGGGCTTGCACTGTGGGACACTCACACGATACTCAGCTTTCAGCTCTTGGGCAGCTGCCTGTAGGGAGAATGAGGGAAGGGAAGCAAGTGGACGGGGAGGGAGAGCCAGGCCCAGAGGACCAGCCTGGAGCACCCGACGTGGGGACCCAGGAGGAGCCCGGAGACCAGCCCACTTACCTGCAAGGTTGCCACGAACTGAATGGTGCTGACCAGCGCGAGGGCGCTGCCTGGGGGAAAGGTGAGGCGGACAGAGGCCAGGAGGTGGGCAGTGTCTATCCGGATGTCCACAAAGACGTACAGCACCCGGAAGTCTTGGGCCGAGGTGTCCATGGGAACTGGGAGGAGGGAAGAGTTCAGGAGACTCTTTTGGAGGGCAAGAGGGGCAGAGGACAAGGAGCTTCAGCCTGAGGACAGACAGGGGGTTCAGGGAGGTAGGGAGGGTAGTGTCATGGGTCTTTTAGAAGCTCCATCTCTGCCACTTGACTAGGGGGTCCAGCCTGCTCTACCACCAACAGCCTTTCAAACACCCATAACTGGGACAGCAGCACGGTTTCCAAGGCAACCAAGTCCAAAGGCAAGCTCCACCCATGGAGCAGGAAGGCCAAGGCCATCCCAGATACCAGGAGGGACCCGGTGCGTGCCAGCAGATCAGGCACTGCAATGGAGATAAGCGTGCAGTTCTGCCCCCCAGCCGGGTCTGGGTGTCCTGGCGGCCGTACCCAGGCAGCTGTGGCCATAGTGCACCAGGAAGTCAGCTCCCAGGGCTCTCGCAGTGAAGTCGTCCACACAGCAAGCCCCGTAGGTCACGTCGCCCATCACCATCACTTCGGCCTCTGTGAACCTGTGGGGGTGGAGATGATGGGACAGTGACACAAGGAGTGAGGTGGTAGAGAGACCTGAATGTGGTATATCTCAGGGCCCAGCTCTGCTCTCCCTGCCTCTCCCAATCCCTTGGGTTGGCAACTGCCACTTCTGCCAACAGAGTAGGAGGGGCCCAGCTGCTACCTCCCCCAGGTCTGGCAGCAGCTCCTGGAACTCTAGCTGTATGCGGATGGACTCTCCAGCACCCTGGTTCCTCTGCCCGGACTCCGACTGCAAGAAGGACCGCCCCCCAGGCCTCAGCCTGGCATACCCACGGGTCAACCACAGACCTCTGCTGCCCTGACTCATCCCACCCAGAGCCAGGTGCATGCACATACAGGCAAAGACACCCATTTCCACACCCTGGCACTGTGACGCGTGCTGGATGCACATCACCTCCCAGCCGCCCAGAACCCCTGCTGCCTCCCCACCCTTAGTCAAGGCCCTCTGTGCCAGGATGGGGGAACCCACGAACGGCTCCCCCACAGCACATGGCGCCACCCACATGCCTCATGCGTCAGGAAGAGTGGGCTATGGCCAGCGCACTGCCATGGGATCTGCTGCCAGGCCTGAATCACTGGGGGATGGGGGCGGGTAGGGAAGACCCCACATCCCCTAAACTCACCACAGGAATGGGGTCAGAGGCCCAGCTCTTCCCTGAGACCCACCCCTAGGGCATGGAGTTTGGCTCAGGGATGGGGAGGTGGGGGGGGTCGTCTCACTGTTCTTCTCCTGGGGGTGTGGTGGGGAACGCTGAGCTGCTGCCAGGCACCCCCCCCCCCACCGCCCCTTTCCCCAAATCAGGCTGTGCACAGAAGCAAATTATTCAGCTCCTTAGAATGCAGCCCAGGCATCTGAGTCAGCCGGAGCACTTAATTTTTTATAGATTAAAATGTATGCAAATTGGCCCAAGCCCCAGAGAGCATCCCCAAGGGGCAAGAGGGTGGGAGCAGGGAAGTGAGTCTGTGGCTGCAGGATGCGAAGCAGGTTGGGGGGAGGGCAGCAGCAGGGAAGTGGGAGGTTCCCATCACGAGATGACCTCCCCTTTCTTCTTTTGCCTTCCCTGTTCCTGTACTGGTTCCAGATGGCTGAGCGCTCAACCCCCTCCTAAGGATGGCTCATTGTATTGAAGAAACTTAGACGAGGGAGGTGGAGGAACTGAACACCATCTCCTAGGCGCTTCTCCTGCTGCCAAGCCCCTCCTTGCCCCGCTCCTCCAAATGTGCCAGAGAAAAAGTCTCCCCCCATAGCCAGACCCCACGCTGACCACCCAGCCCATTCCAGGGTCAACTCTGGGGGCTCTCAGCTTCTTCCTCAGGCCCCACCATCTGCTCTGGGCCCAGCTTTGAGGACAATAAAATCGACTCATTTCTCCCTCCCAATTTCTTTTTTTTAGGGAAGGGGAAATTTATAGAGACAAGGAGGGATTGTAGCAGGCTAGGAGTTTAGATTGGGGTTTTTCCCTTGGTGTGCATATGGTTGCGGGAAGGAACACAGTAAGGCAGAGGTCCAGAATGGGAAAAAAATGATGCCAATGGCCAGAGCCATAATGGACACGGGGAAGGTCTTGGTTCAGCTTCCACAGTGCCCCAAGGCTCACCTTTCCAAGATATCCACAATGGTACAGGCGAAGAGGAGGAGGCCTTCGGGCATTTGTAAGGCCACTGCAAGATAGAGCAGAGACATGAGAGCAGACGGCTGGGAAAAGATTGGGATGGGGACACCCCCCTGGCTGGATCAGACAACCTCTCCAACCGCACTCCAGCTCAGAGCTTAGGGGGGCTCACCCTTCTTGGCCTGGGCCTGTTGGATCCTCCAGATGGTCTTGGGAATCTCAAAGTTATAGTTGGAAGGCAGGACTTGGATGGCCGCCTGCAGCTGGGGATTGTTCAGGATCTCAGCTGGGATCTGATTGGCCAAGCGGCCCCGAGGGGCTCGACCTAGGATAAATGTGAGAGGCCTGAGTTGGTGCCTGGCTTAAATCACAGCCAGACATGATGGAGCTGTTTATGCCACCCAACTTTTAAGGCCCAGATCCCAGAAGTCAAGGGGATTGGCCCAGCCTTCTTCCCCACTGAGTTCATCCTGAAGATGGAGAGACGACCCATTAAGCGAGGAGGAAATGTGTGTAACTGATTTCCATGTTATGAGATTATTGGGAATCAAGGACTTGAAGGTGTGGCTCACTCACCCTGAGAGTAGAGCTGGCACCAGGTGACACATCTGAGGGGCAAATGGGAAAAACATCCACACAATTGTTCCTTGATAGAGAACAATCCTGAGACAGCCCAAGAGCCCAGCCAGCCCAATCAGTCTGGGAAAACATCCCTCTGCTCCCAGCCCCTGAGAAATCCCTTAAGTTCTGAGATCCAGATATGCAATCTGGAAACAAACTGTTACAAATACTAATTTAAAAGACATCCTTCCTTACTGAGTCCCACTGACTTATGTCTACACTGGTTAATTCTTGCTTCTTCCCTCTCCTCATTCAAAAGGTAAATAAACACCATACATTTAACTGCCTTAAGTTCCCTAGTTCCATCATTCTACCCCACTTCCCACTTCTGGAAGGCTGGAAAGAACACACTCCAGTCAGAACTGTGGGCAAACAGGTGAGGACAGAAAAGTGATCTTGCCCTTCAAGGGCTTGTAGTCTAGAGGGCAAATTGCAGGGACACAAATAATTACAACCCCCCACCCCCAAGATTAAAGGAGAAGAAACACTGTAGTCCTTTAGGAAGGCTGCAGCCCTTATTCGGCATCCTACTCCCCACAACTCAGTTTAGCCCAACCTGGGCATCTCTTTAGGCACCAGACAGTTCAAGAGTGTGAAAAGGCGAGAAATGGACTCATTCAGCGAATATTTATTGAGCCTGTACTATTTGCCAGAACTTCTACCAGAGATCCTGCTAGACTGACACATCAGCCTCTGTGTGTGGGTACGCGTTTGGGGCAGCAGTAGACACAGGGGTGGTGATGGTGATGGTGCAGTGGAGTAGTAGAATGGCAGGCTGGGACCCTAAGTCCCGATCTGCTATGGTACTTGTTTAGTTGTTTCAAAGGCCTCGGAACACCAGTCAGTGTCTCTGGGCCGGCCCTCACAGAAGCTCCTCTGCCAGGCCCAAGTCCCTAGTGGTTGCAGGGGTGTGGGAGCTGCTAGTCCTAGCAGCTCAATTTGTCCCAAAGGCCAGTAGGTTCCTCCTCCTTTACCATTTGGCTGTAACCTCTGTTTACGTCCGTATTCCCCGGTAGACGGTGAGATCCCTGAGGGCAGGGCTGCAATCTAGTCCCAGCACCTAACACAGGCCTGGCATTCAGGGCGCGCTCCATAAGTGCCGGGTCAATGAAACCTTGTGCCTCTTACGTAAAGTATTCCCTGAAGGCAGACTTGAGGAATGCCCCGTCCAACACGCCTGGCTCCTTCCCTCCCCGTCGGGTCCGTCTCATCGTTTAGTCTTCATGAGTCTGTCTGCCCTCCAAGGAAGGGAGGCAGCGTTTCCGGCTTGAGAACTACAAGCTTCTAGGAGGGGCTGCTCCCGATGGTGCCCTAAGGTCGCATAAGAAAGACCGGTCCCCCTGGACTCCAGCGACAGTGACTCGGAGCGAGTGACTACGAGACCTTCCGGATCTGGCGGAGAACGGCATCGCCGCCGTTTAAGTGGGCTAGTCGTGTCCCTGACTCAGGGGCCCTACCCCGAGATGCGAGGTCCGGAGGCCGCAGCGTCGTAGCACCCACCTCTGCCCGGGCCGTTTCGGCTACAAGGCTCTGCGGCCTCGGCCGCCACCAGCGCCGCCATCGCCAGCGGACCCACGTTGGGACCAAAAAGACAGCGCTAGAAGAACTCAGAGAGCGCAGACAGTGCAATCGATCGCCGATCGGCCAGCGAGGGGCGGGGATTTGCTGGGCGGGGACCGTGAAGGAGAAAGATTGGGGCGGGGCCAGAGTGGGCCGCCTGTCTCAGCCCGGAAGGTCGGGACTCTCGGGAGCCCCTAGTGGTCCTCGACCACGGCGGTTGCGTTCTCCCGGCGACCCTGTCGCCTCCTCCCCTTGCGAGCAGCCTGATCCTGGCTCTCCTGGACAAGTGCCCTCCTATTTGCAGACTCCCTGCCCTAGTTCGGGGAGCGCAGTCTTGTAAATGGAAACACCGCTGGGTCTTCCTTCAGCTCCCCTATCTCCCCTCCTCATCAGCCCTGGACACCCATGGGCGGGGCCGCATTCCCTGCCTCACAGGACCCCATTGTCCCGACAGGACAGAACTGCGCCCACTGAGCCAGCGTCAAGTTGAGTCTTGATGCCGATTTCCGGAGCGCTGGGATGCCCTTACACCTCTAGAACCCACAGTGTGGAAGGTTCACTGTGAAAAACTGCTACCAGGGGAAGGACCCCAGCCTGAGGATGCTTTCCTGGGAGAAAAGGGAAGTCCAAGGACTCGACTGCCTAAACCTTCGGGATTCTGGTCAACGTTTACCCTGCCTTGGCTGCCCCTCCGGTCTAGGTAGCCGGCCTATAAGCTCCTGGAATCCCAAAGAAAAGGCAAAGTGGCCAGTGGGACAGCCTTGACCTTTAGAAGAGCAGACTGCCTGCAGGACTGGCTTTCAGCAAGGTCTGCCCCACGGAGCAGTCACCCCTCAGGGCCGTTTGCCCACCCAGCCCTCTGGCACCATCTTCCTTTCTGCTCTGTGTGAACACAGCTGGCCCTTTAAGGCAGCTCTGTGGCCTCGGGCTCCCCTGGAGGCCCTCCCTGCTTGGAAACTCCTAATTAAGGCGCAGGGAGAAGTGAAAAACAAGCAGAGAGGGACAGGCCCTGCCTGGGAGACTGCCCATAGAGGAGGGCTGGCTGGGCAGGCTGGGAATGAGCAGCGGAGGGGCAGACCAGAAAGGGTCAGTGCTCTGCCCCTCAGACCCCCAACGGATGCTCTTAGGATGGTCACAACCTCGGACAGGAATGTGGCCCAAGGAACATCCCATCAGTGTGATGAGAGTCCAGCCTGCACTTTCTCAATCTCTCAGGTTCTCTGGACCCCCAGTGTGGAGGATCTCAATTCTGGGGTGCGCTTGAGTCCAGCCCCTCCACATTCAGGACACGAAGGCCCAGTCTGGGCAGCCTTAGCTCTGGATGCAGTTGAAAGTCCCAAGAGGGAAAGACCAGCTCCAGTAGACAGGGATGGCATTTCCCTAGCAGACCCCACACCCCTTAGGACCTTTCCCTCAGCAGAAGTGGGGCCCACTGGTAATAGAAGGCCCCCATCCTCTTACAGCACCACCCCACAGCCTGTGTCCTGGATGAGTTGTGCAGCCCCCATTAGGAAACAAGCCTGTGCCTGAAGACCCTGCTGTGCAGGACATCCGGGCCGTCATTCAACTTGGGCCGAGAACACCTCCATCTGTCCGTGGGGGTCTCCCTGCCAGAGTTACTCAGCAGTCTGAGTAATTACTGCCTGACAAGAAGGCGGGCACAGCGCACCCCCACCTTACAACACCCGCCTACAGTCGCCCCCACCCCCTGGCTGGCCTCCAGAACAGCACCCAGCCCTCCAGAGGCCTGAAATAACTCGGCTTCTCACACTCACGCCCAGCCCCAGCCAACTTTGCCTAAGATACTGGAGATTGCGGGGCAAGGGGTCATGGGGAGGCGGCTTGGGAGGTGGAAGGAGGATTAGCATACCCTGATGCAGGCTCATACTTCAGCACTGATCTGCTGTGAGATGCTTCGCGAGTTGCTCAACCTCCCTGACCTGGGTTTTACTGGCGGAGGGTTTCTGCAGCTCTCAGTGTCCTCAGAGTTCCAGCTAGTGTCTGCCTGGCAGGGCTCAGACAGGATGGCTCAGTCTGGTCCTGCAGCTGGTGGAGGCTGAGAGAATGCCTTACCTGGGGTTTCTATTGCAAGATGGACCAATCTTCTTAAACTTCAACGCAAGCTTACTTTCTCACCTCCAAGCCATCTACACATTCCTTCCTGCCTGTCCTAGTCTTTCCCCTTCTCAACCTGATGAATTCAGCCCTCAAGACCAATGGCACCTCTTCTGTGAAACCTTTTTGGATGGTCTTTCAGCCCCTTACAGAGCTAGCAAAGTCCCCTCCCACACTTTCTCTCTTCCTAGCACATTCTAAGATAGCTTATGGGTCTTCCCCTACAGAAGCTTGCCATAAGCTTCTGAAAGTCCAAGTCTATGTTATTGTTGTTATTGTTCAGTCATTAAGTCACATCTGACTGTTTGCGACCTCATGGACCGCAGAATACCAAGCCTATGTAGTTAGCACAAACCTCGGTGTTGTTGAATGCATGTATAGGTGAATGAATGATACTGGTTTTCTTTTTGAGCTTCCTAACATGTCAAGTTTGTCTCCAAGGTATCACACGACTCTCTCACTTCAGTTAGGTCTCTGCTTAGATGTCACCTGCTCAGAGTGCTTTCCCTGATCCCCTTTTATCAGCTCCAGAACAACATCTGACTTATTTTTTCTTCTTCCAAGCAAGATCTCATCTGGACTTTCCTAAATTGGTCCCTAATAACCGTAAATTTCACAAGGACAGGGACTTTGCCTTTTTAATTGACTGAATCCCGGAAGACTAAAGCTCTATACTGACAGTCCCTCAATAAATGTGCCTTTAATGGGTGACTTAGGCCACTCTTTTCCCCCCGTTCAGGACCCCTCTTATCTCAGGCCAGTAGGGGGTGCCGGCCTCCACCCGGGACTGGTCTGGCCTTAACCTTCTCTAAGCTCAGCCCAGCTGGTTCCCAGTTGGACCTGCTTTTTAGGCGGTGCCTCCTCCATTTTCCACGAAGCCCCCGGCGGGGTCTGTATAGACTGAGGGACAACAGAGTCCCCCCCAAGCAGAGATAGCCTGGCTGAGCCCCACATCGGTCTTCCCTCGCTAGGATATGCAGCTGGGCCTCCCCAATGCTTGTTGCCAGGTCTAGACTAGCCAGGGGGCACATCGCACTCGGCCCCCCCCCCCCAAAAAAAAGAACAGTGTCCTAGGACTCGGGATGCGATGCGGCTGGGTTTGCCGGAGCTGTCCTGGGCAAGGAGGAGCCGTCGAGCCTCCGAGGAAGAAGCGGAGTCGGCCAGGGAGGAGATGGGCAGGGGTGCGGACTTGTAATCGGGGACTCTGGGCGGTGGTCCTCGCATCCCAGCCGGTGGGCAGAGCGCACGCTGCCAGCCGCCTGTTTCGGTGACCTCCATCCGCGAAGGGCGCTCGCCCGGAGGGGGTGGGGCTGCGGGTGCGAGCTTCGGGAAGCCCGCGAAGCCCAGGAGGGGCTCTCGAGTGGCCCGACGACCGGCCCGGGGACTGGGGCAGGTACTTGGACGGACGCGGGCCGAGGATCGTCCCCGGGGGCGGGCGCGGCGAAAACACCTTGGGAGGCGGCGCCGCGCGGCTGAGCTCCGCTGCCCTGGGAATAGGACGGCGCTTGGCACTGCGAGCTGAGAGCACTTTCATAAATTTTGTATGGGAGGCGCTCCGTGAGCGGGGGCGGGGAGCGCAGAGAGAGAGGGAGGGAGCTAGCGAGCGGGGGAGGGAGGGAAGGAGGAGAGGTGGGGGAAGCCGGGGGGAGGAAGGGAGGCGCCCCGCTCCGCCGATCGCACGGTCCTGCAAACGCGCGCCGGGCGCTTTCCCCGGAGCTCCGCGGTGCGTGCGAGCGCCCTTTTGCAGCAGCCGCGGCGGCGGCGGCGGCGGCGACCCGAGGGGGCGGAGAGTAGGGGGCCGCGGCCGGGGGACCAGGGGGCGGCGTCCCCCCTCAAAACCGCCTGCAAAGTGCTCGGGGTTGCAGAAGCAGGCCGCCGGATCCGCGGAGAAAGCAGCTCGCCCCGGGGGCTGCCGGGCACAGCCGCGGTTGCCGGTGGGCGCCGGTGCCCTCGGCACGGGGCTCGGGCTCACCATGCCCCTGCGGGGCCGGGCCGCCGGGCACCAGCGGATCCCCGGCTTGCCCCCGCCTCGACGCGCACGGATTAGCTGCAGCCGGCGCCCGAGGATTTGAATCCGGACCCCGGGAGGGAAAGAGCCTAGGCCGACCTCGGAGTGGCGGCCCCGCGGCCAACATGCTTCGCAAAGGTGAGTTGGAGCCGCAGGGGCAAGTTGGAGTTGGATGCGCACGGGGCAGAGCCGCGAGCCTGGGAGCCGCCCGAGAGCCGCCCAGCGCCGGGGCTCCCGGTCTGGGAAGCAGCTCTGGGAAGGCTAGAGGGCTTCGCGGGACTCACCCGCGGAGGGAGTGCTGCTGGGGGAGCTCGGCCCTCGACGGGGGCTAGTATCGAGACTCGGGATCTGCTCCCTGAATCCAGCGGCCAGGCCTAGAGATCTGGTTCGGCGAGGTCATTTGGAGACCACAGTGAACTATCTGTGATGGAAGGGAAGCCGGCCTCCTGGGACCTTAGCTTTGCCGGTATAAAGTTTTTCACTTGCAGCCTCCATCCCCCTCGCGGACCCACGCCGCCAGCTTCCGCCGCTTAGGCGGGGCCGGGGCCGGTTCCGACCCGCGCTCCAGTGCAGCCGGCGGTCAGGCGCCGCGCAGCCCGGGCGCTCACTCACCGCGCGTCCTGGCTTCCCAGGTGGGGCCCGGATGCGGGCACCTTCCCTGCACCACGCTTTGGTGGTCCCCAGGGATGGGCTCTGGGCATCCAGCGGCCGAGGGTTGGTGTCTAGCGCCCGAGGTCCGGTTCCTCAAACTTTCCTTCTGCCTGGAGCGGAGGGATTGGAAGGTGGAGGCCGTGCCAGGAGAGTGCGCTGCCGATGCCAGGCTTAACTTGAGGACAGCTGCCCCCCCCCACCCCCGCCCCCGACCACCTCACCATGACCCTCGGGCCGCCGGGCTCCTAGCCGAGCGCTGCAAAGTTGGCGCGGGCGCTGGGGAAGTCCCGCCGCGCCCCCACGTGGCTGCCGCGCGGGGAGCGGTCCCCAGGGCCCAGGGAGGGCAGGTGACCATGCCGTGAGCCCGCGGGCTCCGCCACCCGCTGCCCGGGCCTCTGCGTCGTCTGCCTCTCTCACCTCCCAGGTCCGGGCGGGCTGCGGCGCCCCGCCGGGACCCCCTCGTCCCTGGCCCGGGCCGACCGACCGTAAGCCACCCGCGCCTGCGGCTGGCTGCCCGGGCCCTGCGGGAGCCGGGTGAGGTGGGACCTCAGGTAGCGGAGGAGCCTGATCCCTGAGCTCAGTGCTCCAGCCTTAATCCGCCCCTGTTTCCATGGCAACAGACCGAGGTGTCGTAAGCACGGAATTCTGACCTCACAGTAGGATGGGAAAGGAGAAAATGGGCAAGGGGAGGTGACGGGAGGAGGGGGAAGCGAAGTCCAGGGATGGGCGGAGAGGAGCAGATGTGGGGGTGATGGAAGAGACCCCATAAGCTGGTGGGACAGGTGCGTGAAGAAACCACGTCTGCGCTGGAAGCCCTAAAGGCTGTGTGGTGGTCCCACCTAGCTCAGGCCGACCGATGAATCTGGGTCGCCCCACTGTGTGAATAGCCACCAACTTGTGTGACTTGTATCCTCCACGTGGGTCGGTGCAGTGCAGGGTGGGGGAACGCTGACTGCCTTTCACTGTGGGTGGGAAGTCTCTGCGGCTGGTTGGAGACACCACTTCAAGGATCCACTCCAGTTCCTTTCCCCAGCTAGAAAGGGACCAAAAGTCTTTTCAGCACCCGCCAGTGCTGGCCAGAGTATGTCTGCACAGAGAAGATGCCTTTTTTTACAGAGTTGGGTGGCTTGGACCTGGATCCTACAAACTTGCCCCAGTGGGGAAGACTTCCTGGGTAGTTCTGAAGGCCGCCATGTCTGGGCTGCAGGTCTGTGATGGAGATAATAGAGAGCAGCTGACATCTCATTTCCCTTTTGGTCTTTTGTCAGTTTACAGTTAAAAATGAGCCATGAAGCAGCCCACGCATTTTATTTATATGGTTGAGGTGTCCAGGGAGGCTTGAGCAGCCTCCAAGAGCCTTTTCTCCCATCCTCGCTGGCCAGAGACCCAGCTTGGGATGAACCCAGTGCATTCTGGGGCCTGCTCCCAGCGGGAATCTCCTTAGCCTGCCCAAGAGATGGCCACTGGAGGCTTGGCAGTCACGTGTGTTTGCCACTTGGGCTATTTTTCCCTTCCTGCATAGCTTGGTTGGAGAGAGAGATTCTACCAACAAAGAGGTTTTCACCTGGATTGCCCGGAAGGAAGCAGAGCAGAGAGGTCCTTTGCTGCTCTGGGCCATTGAGTGGGCAAAGGGCTTTTATTTTGGTCCTGGTCTGGGCAAATCTCTCCCTTGGCTCCTGATCCTGGTCACCAGGACTGGTCTCTCTTGTGCACACATAACACAGGGCACTCAGATTCTCTGTGTGGATTCCAGGTATGTGCCCAGAGACAAAGATATGCCTAGGGCTGGAGGCAAGAGAGGTGGCCATTGAAGTTTCTGCTTCTCAAGTGTTCCTAAAGGCTCCTGGCAAAAATGTCATAGGATGAAAAAAACAAAAGGTCATAGGATGGATTCAGGTATTTGTTGCAATTTCCCTGCCGGTCGATGCAGAACCCTATGTGGGGTCCTGGCCCTGGGGGGAGTTTCACAGTTTAATTATGATTTGGAAAACGGTTTGAAAGATGAAGAAAGAGTAGCCTTTCCTAGATCCTGGGAGGAGAAGGAACCGTGAGCCCTACCTATCATGCGGAGAAACCCCAGAGGAGGAAGAAGGTGAGAGTAGGCATTGGACCACAAGGGTCATGTCTCTGATTTCCGGTTGTCCTATGACAGTTAATGTGATGTTGTCCCTGGGCAGGACATTTTAGGAACTGGGGGTGCTGCCTGCATCTCTTAGTGAAGACTCTCCTGGCTACAGCCCCACCTCTAAATCCAAACAGCCTCGAGACCTCAGTGATCTCGCTGCTGACCGTGCTGCTAGCTGAAGGCTTCAGCAGCTGCCCTGCTGGCTTTTCCATCTCCCAGCCTAGCCTGGCAGAACCAGGATATAAAAAGCAAATCTCTGGTCAGAGATGAGAGGCAGGCAGGGCAAGCGAGGCCCCGAGCCACTCAGCACCATCTAGGAAGGGAGAGTGGCCTGCTGGGTTTTTGCTTGGCCAGAAGTGGCCTGCTTAAGGTCAGGATCTATGGTTTTCATTTTTAGAGCTATAAAAAACAGAATGCAAATCAACAGCCTCTGGGCGAATACAGAACCTTTCCTTAAAGTTTTTGTCTTGTTAAGCAAGGAAATAGAGTGCCAAATAGGCTTTGTTAAGTGGCAGTCTAATTAATAATTTAAAATCGTGTAGCTGTCTTTCATTAGAATTTATGTGTACATCAACCACAAAATCAGTCAAACACACTCATTTATAAGTTAATGCCATCCCTGAATAATTCAGCAAGAACTAGATTAAGGCCTGCAACCCAGTAAGATGCATTTTGTTCTTTTGGTTTCCATAGCCAGATGGGCTGGCCTGGTGGCTGGATTGGGTCTCCTTTGTGGGAAGAAGGGAAGGTAGGAGGAAGAAGGGACCATGGGATTGTCAGATGCTTGGTTGATTTGCATTCAGAGGTCCCCTAGGGAATCAGAGAGTCTTCATGTGTCCAGGTATGAGCAGGCTCCCCTTAGAGCTGTTAATGTGTGGCCCTCTTTAGCCCCAACGGTGAAGGGAAGTGGAGAGTGTTCCACGGACAGCCAAGACATTCCCCTTCCTACTAGAGAAAGTGTAGAGAGGGGAATTACAAGAGCCCTGTGTAGAGGGCTGAGATACAAGCCTTTTTAGCCCAAATCTAGGTACAGAAGTGGAGTTCCAGTCTTCCCAGCACAAGTCTGTCCCATTCAATTGAAGCAGCCCAATGAAACCAATGACACCAAGACAGTTTCCTTAACTGGGAACTTCTGGACTGCTTTCCCCCTCAAAGCTCCTGGTCCTTACACCAGCAAAGAGAAGCCAGGATGAGGAACTTTAAGGAAGCACCAGGTCACCTCAAGAGAGAAGAGACAGAGTTGCTAAATAAAGTCCTTGCATGCATTTTCTCACCAGTGCCAGAATAAAAGCAAGGAAAGAAATGCAATGCTCCCCGTTTGTGAGCTAAGACGATGTAGGAAATGTGTTTTGGTTCCGCCCCTGTCGTGCCAACACGAGGCCAACTCCTCACCACAGTTGCCAGGTCTAGTTACTGCCGAGGAACTGTTCAGGACCCGAACTCCCAGCGTGGACAGACTTACTCCTTTACTCAGGAATGAACCCGAGTTTCTGGTCTCGGACTCAGGCTGCTAAGCTCGACCGCCACTGCCCCGGAGGGTTCAGTGGCTGTTTTAGGAGACCAGGTGGATAACCAGAACAGACAGTGGACTTGACACAGGGAGAGGTTCTCGGCCAAGTCTGAAGCGAGGAAGTCTCATTACGAAATGGAAAAGACAGGGGAGACTGGTAGGAGTTTTTGCCCCCTGACCTGTGGCAGAGTTGACAGCAGATGGGATCTGGGAGGGAGGCTTGTCGGGCGGTGAGTCCAACTCCAAGCTTTGAAGTCAGGGCCTGAGAAAGGACAGAGCAGAAGTTCACTCTCTGGAGATGAGAAGGAGGGGGCAGGCCTGCTGAAGGATGTCAAGAACGGATCTGTTTGGTACCATCTGCAGTGAAGTAGTGGTTAAGGTTAAAGCAGAGAGGAGATGACAGGGAGGGAACAGATGGCCGAGGAAGCAAAATAGCTGGCGAAACGGGAACAGAGCCTCCAGGGACAGCGGAAGGCAGGACCTCCATGCAGAGTGCCGGAAGCGGCCCTTTCCTCGGGGTGCCCTGGCCAGGCCACCTGGGTAGAAGTGAGTCTGAGAGAGGAGTGATGCAGGCACCCCAGGGGGAGGGCTTGCTTGAGGCTTGGGAGAAGACCGCATGTGTGCTGAGACGCTCAGTCATGTCCAACTCTGCGGCTCCATGGACTGTAGCCCACCAGGCTCCTCTGTCCATGGGATTCCCCGGGCAAGAATACTAGAGCAGGTTGCCACTTCCTATTCCAGGGGATCTTCCCTGACCCAGGGGTCAAACCCACGCCTCTTGCATCTCCTGCATTGGCAGGCAAATTCTTTACCGCTAGCGCCACCTGGGAAGCCCAAGAGAACACCTAGGAA